GGAGGTGGTGGGATGTGGTGGCAGGCGGTGGTTGATTGATTGTATGGGACTGATGGTGGAGTTGTTTTGGTTCGACGGGGCGGCGGTGGATTGGTCTGTTTGGTGGTACCTGAAGCGGCGCGCGCGACCGTGGGAGAAGATGGGAAGAAGAGGAGGGGGCTTAGGGATGATGGAGGAGGAGGAGGGGGGTGGGAAGATGCAAGGAGGAGCAGGGAGGAGAGTCCGAATCAGAGTGAGATGGAGAGCGAGAGAGACTGAGGAGGGTAAGACGGGCGATGAATTGTCAAAAGCAGCCCCCAACCCTCCTGCCTTCCTGCGTAGACGGCGGCAGGAGAGAACGTACCGAGATGGTGAGTGACTACGTCAACGCAGGCATCGACAATAGCCAAGCATGAAGAATGGAAGGAGGGAAAAAGCAGAACAGAATTGAGAGAGTGTAAGTGAGAGAGAGAAAGAGAGAGGGTAAATAGAAAGTAAAGAATGACGGGGGCTTTGGTAAAGAAAATCAAATCCAAAAAAAGACGAACAACTAATCGATACTAGGAATGGAAGTAAATGAGTGAAAGGAAAAAGAGGAGAAAGAGAAGGGGAGATTAATTTGGAGGAGGCGGTTTAGTCTCGTTGGGGCCCGTCCGTGTCATCGTCTAGTCTTTGGACTTACCAGAGTAGTGATAGTATGAATAGGAATAGGTACGGCTGTAAAAGGGGGGCCCGAGATGAAAGAAGAGGGCAACAAGAAAAAAAAAAACAGTAGGCTGTGGAAATAAGCCCAATGTTGCTCAATCCGCCTCGTCTTATGCCCACGCACTCGGCACAAAAAGTGGGACACTCTCCCACTCTCCTACTCTCCCAGATTCTCCACCCGGCGATTATTACCGGGCTGGCTCCAGTCATTCAGGTGAATGACGACGATTTCCCGCGTATTCTAGCCTCTTTCCTCCACATCGTGCCTGTCTGTCAGCCTGTTCACCGTTGTTCACCGTTTCCCACCGGTCGCGTTACGCATCAGATGTTCTCGACCCTACTCAGCGACTCCAGTATATGGGCCATGATGCATCAATGGAGTGCTATCCACGGTTCGACCCCATGTCTAAATCTACCTCAAGGTGTCATGACATGGGGAACGCCCATCTGCAGCAGATGCAGTAATCTACTGCAATCATATCCAGCTGACACCAGCAGGGCCACTAGTGAACTGACTATAGCACTCGGACTAATTGGTGCTTCTCCGCCCTCCTGTATGTACTCTACGCTGCTCCGTGGCTGCTGCAGACGGCCCTTTTGGCTTCGTATGCCACTGGGACGTGCATCGACTGCCAAGATAGTCGGTAATCCTCGTCGAAAAGCACACGAAGGTGATGAGCTCTCGACTTTCGGATACGCTTCTCCAGAATTGAGTTCGGATCGCCAAAGTAGGGTCTGCCAGATCAACCTTGACATGGGACAAGGGCGACAAGCCCGTACTGAAGGCGGTGCAATTGACCGAATCCCGGACGATCGATCACAATTTATCATCTTCGACAACAGTGACCTAGACAGACGAGGGAGGATGCTCTTCATATGCAAGCGATTGTTCTGGTCGGCATTGTCCTGTACCACCCCCAGAGTGACCAGCAACAAGAGGGTGCAGCAAAGGGAAAAAAATCACGCAAGGCCTACAGAACACAGATTCCAGCCGACTGCCACTCGTCCAAAGTACTCCGTACCCATGCAAACGATGCCAGCCCAGAGCCAGCCCAGAATCTGATGATTAAAGACAGATTACTGAACGGCTGGGCTGGAGCCATTGATCTTTTGAATGGATTCGCGATCGGACCGGGTAATAATACGGTCTGTTGATACAGGTCAAGGAAGGCACAGCATGGCGGGGGGGAAGGCTTGGGGGCTTCAGTCCGTAAGGTGATACAGAACAGTGGCCGGTGAAAAGCGCAGGAACAAGTGCCGATCGACGGTGGTACAGTGCCCATCGTAATTCCCGCCCTCTTTCCACGCCAACCTTGTCTGCAAAGGGCATGTTTCCGTCAAGGTTCGGACCATCACAAGGCCTAGACTGACGGCGTGGGTGGCTCTACTTTTCTGGGAAGGTAAAAAGTGGGTAGGTTGGTTCCTGACCGTGGCGGTGGGGATTGCCCCGGTGCGTGCAGATAAGGAGTCTGGGAAACAATGCAGCCACTCACTCATTCACTCGCCCGATCGCCCACATACTTACTGCCTGTCCGTCTACAGTTGTTTCAAGAGTTTTTGCCCCCAGGAAGGGTCTTCCAGCCACTTGCATAGTTGAAGGACTGGTTGGGTTGGCTTTCATGGTTCGTCTCCGCCAGCAGAGCAGTTCTTACCACAGTCCCCTATCAGCAGACGCGAAGGACAAATTTTGGGATGAAGCTACACAGAGACGAGTTGCTTTTGCTTCAAGTCGCCCGTCTTTGAGATCGTAGGCAGTGCCTGGGATTTAACTGGATCTGGCTTAGCGGAAAGTCACCAAAGAATCGGACGGCTGTCTCACCTTCTCTCCTCATCTTTGGTAGAACTACCCCGTTGAGTCAATACCTGAGTCTGTTCATCCGAGTCTAGTAGAGATTTGGCACGGAGTCCGAGATCGAGCTGCGCTTCCTCTATAACGTGGTATGCATATAGGTAGCTATCTTAAATATGTCCAGTACTAGATAGACTAAAGGGCAGGCTACTGAATACTTAGAATATGGGAAGATCATTCTTCCATCCACTAGACTAACGACCGACACTAACTTATTGTTCATTTCAATAGACCCGGCCCCGGGGGAGGAAAGGAAGGGGATTCCTTGGCCCGAAAATGATTAGGGGCCTTGCCCGTCAGGCTCCTTTCTCACTGCCTCTCTTTCCGGCCAATCCACACGATTCATTTGCTGCTGCTCCCACGTGTACCCGGAACACTTAAGCGATGCCACTGAAGCTCGACGTTTCGTCCCTGAGTCCCATCAAGAGCAAAACACCAGAGTCAAATCTTCTCTCGCGTTCCTGTGCGCATGAATCGTCATCCACATTTTTCCGCCCTAACATGGCAGGAATGTTTGGATTGTGCGATGGTCCAGTGAGAGGACGCCCTCTGGGGCCATCATCAGTGCTGAAACAACCGTCATTTCCATCCCTACGATCTCGCTGCATCGCAGCATTCCAGCGGACCGGGATTGCGTTTGACTGACAATACCAATAGGGATCCATGATTTTCCTCGCTGACAGTCAGGGATTCGAGAAGGTTCGTCGCTTCCGTGAAGCATGGCAGACGGATAATAAGGGGGGGCCAGAAAGTCTCTATCCTTTCCCCCAGTTGCAGATCATCGGCGCGTCCAAGCTCGGATAAGGTATATGAACACTATATAACTGCTCTAAGGAACTCGGATCGCCGTGCAACCCGGTCGAGGACCATGGACTGATGACTGACTAGATGACTAGTAACTGACTAGTCAGGGGAGCCATTGTAGCACCATCTTTGTCCAACTACCGTTGCTATTTCTATGTGTCACGCCTGAGTCCTGGGGAACAAAGAAGGCCTTCGATTAACGACGGAGTCGACGGACGAACTTACCAACTCGGTTGATGAGCTCCGTTCAGCCTCTCACCCACCCTCGCTAAAGATACAGATACCGACTGCAGTACAGCACAGCAGCTAACTTTAGGTGGTCGTCTCTCTCAAATCTGCAGATGCGACCCTGTGGGAAGCCAACCATGGACGGGACAAAATGCCATTCAGTGCGGCCCAAGGAAAGATGAGACGGAACTATTCCTGTTCCTGAACAAATGAAATCCACCCGCCGTGTTGCTCCACCTCTTCCCCCGATGCGTCGCCCACATTGGCTGAGAAACTCCCCTCCTTCTGGCGCGTGCAGTGCCCTTTTCCGTCCTAGTCAATTTCCCGGCAGCACGGGTGATGGTATCCAAAATACGCATTTTCACTTTGTATGCTACCATTTATCTACTTACACTGACTGGTTATCAATCTACACCTTAGATCTCCTCTGAATCTGGAGTGAGTATGTATTCTTATCTAGACTATGGGGCAACAAGATCACACCTTTCCACGACATGGAAGTAAAGGTACATACTACCCGCCCAACAGAACTCTGCAGTCTCTTCGTCTTCTTGAATCAGTGAGGGAGACATGGTTTCCCTATTTCTGTTCACAGCAAGAGTCCTTTGATCCCTCGCCTGCGGCGTGTCCATAAGCGTCACGTGCTCAGAATGGAACGGCACAAAGCATCCCTCATGAGGCTTGGCCCAAGCGCTCAAAAAAGCAGAAGATAAAATCAGAGCCTCGCCGCTCTTTATCATCCTCTGTCGCCTCACAGCAGTTGGTCGAAGTCAGCAAGAGCAGAGCTAGGACCAGAGACCCCACGAATGATGGTTACGATGGTCATAGGCTCGTGGATATTTTCAGCTCCCACCTAGACTCATCACCCGGCATTGCCCAGAAGACAACTCGCACCTCACCGACATACTATCGAAGGTCCATACTCACCGAGACAGACGGCAGCAATATAGGAGCATCTTACAGGTCTGTTCTGACGGTCCATACCGACCCAGGCTGTGGGACAGATTAGACCCTTATGCTCCGGCATCGATACTTTGCCAAATACGGTGAATGACGATGCACAACCCGATGAATCTCGAAGTCTATCCCCTGATCAGCAGTAGAGCTGCTGAGGCCGTAAATAAATGTTGCCTCGCAGCAATCCAGAGACAGCACACTACCTACTTGACAGAGTCAACATGACTACATATAGGTAGCAGAGCGAATCCAGCAAGAGAGCAAGCTCCGCAAACTCTCCAAAATCAAGGTTTGACACGCGCTGTCTCAATAATGGTCTTTCAGGTACACACGCTCTCTCTACTAAGAATGATTCACCGCAGAGCCATTTAAGTTTGACGGATGGTGTAAGAATCAAGATTTTCTCGAGCTGATTTTCCAGACAGCCCATCTTGCCACCGCAGCCACTGGACTATCCTCATAGATGAAGTACCGTACCCCCAATCAAAGATCACTTTTACTTGACTTATAGAATGTACAGTACAGTCCATCACCGATACTCTCCCTTCTACCCGTACATCAGTATATAAGCCACCCCACCCAGCAAATGAGATATAGTGATATAGTCCAAGACTGTAGGTTAGGGTTCACAACTTCGCCCCCCTTGTGCTAGAGAGATCTCTCACCACCGCCGAACACTCAATCTCCACATCCGTCCCCATCGGCAACGACTTCACCGCCACGCACGTACGAGCCTAGACATTTTATCAGCTATAATGACCTGCAAATCCACCCCAACCAAGCCCCTCCTAGATAAAGGGGGGGATAGAAACTCACAGGCTTAACCCGCCCCTCCCCCCCGAAAACCTCAGTATAAACCTCATTCACCGCCCCGAAATCCCCCATATCCGTGAGGAAGATATTCACCTTGACCACGTCGTCGAGGCTGGAGCCCGCTGCTTCCAGGACGGCGCGGAGGTTGCGGAGGATTTGTTTCTAATCCGTTGATCAGCATGTTTGATTTGGTGGGTTGTGCGGTTAGCGTGCTTTGGTTTGGGTTGGTGTGATTGGACTGGGGTTGGTGTGATTGCCCTTGAAGATGCTACAGGTATAGCACTATCCGGGGGAAGGGATTGGGTTCGGGGAAAGCACTATAGGCTCAGGCAACGTACAGCTCGCGCCTGGACCGATCCCTTCACGATCTCCCCGGTGGCGGGATCGACGCCGATTTGGCCGGAGCAGTGGACGGTGTTGTTGGCGACGATGGCTTGGGAGAGAAAGGGTGGTGGGGAGGGGGCGGCGCGAGTGTGGATTGCGCGGCGGGTGGGTTGCCACATTTTTAGTTGTTGTTGGTGATGATTGTAATGTAGAGTGGGTAATTATGGCGGGGTTGAGGAGTTGGGAATTGGGTTGTTCTTGTTTATAGGATGCTTTGTTTGATGCAATGGCTGTAGGTGTAGGTGAGTGCGGAGAGGGGAGGTTATATGTACTGTACCTCTGGGTGAGGAGGCGGTGATAAGCGATAAGATAAGGGATCTAGTGAGTGGGGAGCTGGCTTGGCTTATCATGTCTCTAGAGGGGGCATTAGAGTGTCGACGATTGTTGAAGGGGGGTGGGGTTATCTTGAGGCTGGATGCTTCTTCTTTTTATTTGTGTATAATTGTATGTGCTGGAAGCAGAAGTGTAGGTGGTCGCTGGTTGTCTACACACCATTTGAGTTGCGGTAGTGGTGGTGGTTGGAAGCGCTGTATATTTGTCGATTTATATACGGGTTTAAACCAGAAGCTTCGACTGCAGCATAACATCATTAGCTATCCTTTCATTCCCAATTACCAATGACCAGTGTCCTAGGCAGAATGTAAGTCTGGAGATAAGATATATAAGATTTAAACATCTGTTTTACTCGAATATCTGTATGTCGGTTGATGTATCCCACAGCTCTACATCGCTTCAGACTGGACCAACGATAAAAGCAACAGCTAGGCAAAAACCACACAAAGAGCCCTTAAGGTCATGAGTACAGCTAACCAGCAAGAAACCCACCAAGCAAAGCCTTGTCTCCGCCTGACATTGTGTGGTTCGCCAGTGCACCCAGCAAAACACCACAGAACACGCACCAGCAAAGCGTGTACCCAGACGACAACGTAACCTCATCGTCGCGGCGATTGCCATGTCTCTCAAAGATTTCCTTCACCTGGCCAGGAGAGCGTGTTTCTCTCTTCCCCTCTCCATCTTTCTCCTCTTCCTCTTCCTCTTCCTCTTCCTCTTCCTCTTCCTCTTCCTCTTCCTCTTCCTCTTCCTCTTCTCCTCCTCACCCCCCTTCTCACACTCTCTCACCCTCACAAACCATGGCAGACAACGAAAAGCCGCCCGCTCATCCCTTGTCCAATACATCTGTGAGAAACATGGCGCAGCCACTCAACACTACCCCAGTCCCAGATCCCATACCTGCCGTGAATCATCCAGGTCACTATGTGGTCGAGATACATAGGACTTTCTTCCGCACGGAGCTGAACCATGCTGAGGAAGACTTCGTTCCCCGGCGCTACCTTGAACTTGCAGAGGCATCAAGTAAGTCGCCCTTTCTCTTGTTCTGATCAATAATTGCTGAATGACGGATCAGATGATTATAGAATCTCTCCATGGATCATGCATGCCTTCCGAACCCAGAAGGGAGTCATCAACTTCGCCGAATGGAGCCAATGGGACCCGCGATTCCGCAAGACCTTCGAGAGCTTGATTGAGAATCCTTGCCTCCGAGAGGGTCTGCTTGCTGGTGGGTATGAGGCCACAGGGCTGCCTACCGACAATCGGCCCCTGGACGAGACCGAGGCGCGGCGTTTCGGCCGGATCGTGAGACTGCAGCAGCGTGCCATTGTGTCCTTCCTGCAGAATGCCTTGAAGGGTGCCTCGATCGCTCACAGGACCCCCGATGGGAAGTTCAAGCTGTCTCTGACGTATGTATCACCCCGGTCTTTTGGCTTGTCGCGAGTGAGCGAAGACGTAAGCGAAAAGAAAGAGAACAGACATGTGACTGACAGAAGTACAGTCCTCGGTACCGCCGGAAGCGGATTGCGTATTTCATGAACCGCATGAGCAGGAGGAGGGCAACCTATACTGGGCCCGAAACCCACGCTTTCCTGACGGTGGATCATCCGAACGAGCGCGTCTTCAGCCGTAATGTGGTTCCCATCACAGTGGTAAGCATAGCGATTTGTTCCCTCATTCTTCAGTCAGATGTCGACCTACTTTGGATTCACCCCACCTTTACCCCCTCCCTCACCCTCCCAAAGCTCCCTCACATCAACCATCCACACACTAACCCTACATCTGCAGACCGACAACCCCCACATCACCGTCCCCGCCCACTTCCACAAGTCCGTCGAGATCCTCGTCGGACAGTTCTGCTATCAGATGCGGGACCTAACCAACAACATCTTCAGTCTTGCGGACCAAGATGCGTATCTCCTCCACCTGCACGGGTCGCACCTCCACCTGCTCCGCCTGGTCGCTCCGGGGTTCAAGACCTCGCAGATCCGCTCCCACACGCACGAAGGTTTCGTTCACGGGGAGACGTACACCTCCTTGCCGTCCCACTTCGCCGAGAGTCTCGCCCTGAGTCTTCTCGGTGACGCGGACGGCGATCGCAGGGCGCTGCGCACTCGCCTCGAGACAAGGCAGATCCGCAAGGTCTTGGAGCAGATCAAATGGTTCCGTCTAGATCGCGGCGCCGACACCGAGGGGACCATCGAGCAGGCGCTGAACCAGGATTGCAAGGTGTTCCAGGTCTTGGTGAGTCAGGAATATGACCTCTGGACCTGGGAGGGGTTCCGTGGGGCTGTGCGTCTGGTCTCGGGGCTCTGTCGGTATCTGATGAGTGGCACGGCTCGGGTGGGCTCGGTGCAGAGGATGTTTTGGCGGTGGCCTAAGAGGGAGGATCGCAGTAATGATTACGATGAGGACGAGTTCGCTTGGTTCTGGAGGTACAATTGGGGTCTTGAGGATGAAGAGGAGGATGAAGATGGAGATGGGGTTAGTTTTGATTCCTCGGACCAAAATCCTGAGTATGAGAACCTCGACGATTATGAGACGGAGCTTGGAGTCGAGCAGGATGCTGACTTGGATATGTATGGGAGTGAGGATGATGAGCACGAAGAGGTGAGTGACGAACAGGATGCAGACACCGAGTGAGAGCGACAGCATTGCAGCCAAGTTGGTGCAGATCAGCTCAAACAGATGAGCATTGTTGTGACTGGACTTCTCATTGATAGCAGCATTGCATAATTACCGTGCTCAAGATAGTACGTTGATTATTTGCATGGTATGTTGGTTGGCACGGTGCTCTGACGAGAATTGGGAAGAACTGGTCATGTGTCTTTTGAGCAGGTGCGCCATTGAGGTTTTGCTTGTGTCCGTTCAAGGGATCCATTACGTATCGTGATGTTGGGGTAACTAGGAAGAATTGGTGGCTGGCTTGACGCAGGAGGCAATCTGTATTTTACATTGAGGAGATAAGTACAATCTGAATACCATATGTGGCCGCCCGACTGGTTCCAGAATCAAGTAGAAATTCAACTAGGAAATCATTCCTGACGGCGGCGTTCGGACTCGAATGCTGTAAAGGCATCGATTCCACGCCCATCCTCTCCACCAGTGCGGAAATATTCAGTCACAACGCCTAGCGCGTAGAAAGTGCCAGCAGTAGCCACGCCACCAAGAAGCATTCTGCGGAGGAATTTCGCGGATTTACTTCCTTGCGAGGTCTTTCCCCCGGTCTCGGATGTGGTGCTTTGTGATCCTTGAAGAACAATGTCAGGGTTTAGCTCGTGCTGCTGCTGGTCATTAAGTGTTGCTGAAGACGGCGTTGTGCCCTTCTTAGGGTCGGCATTGGCTCCTTCGATCTGCTCAAACGAATTTCGCGTCTTTCTGAAGACGAGGACATCCCCACCACCAGAGACAATCTCATACCCATTGTTATTCAACCTCTCAAAGTACGGTAAGAACATTGCAGCATTGTTCAGGCGGTTGAGTATCTCGGCGGGGTGAGAGATTTCATCTGTCGGATGGAAAGATGAGCTTGTTTCTGCTTCGGTGATACTAATAGAGATGGGATCAAATGCGAGCACGCGATACGTCTCGGCATTTACCTGACCAGAGAGGTTGTGCGGAACAGTTATGGGTGAGTTCGGAGACGGCACAGCTTTCTGTACTTCATTCATGGCGAGTTGATCCGAGGCAATTGTTGTCTCTGAGGCCACATCTTGAAGCTTGTCCGAGACTGCCAAGTCCTCTGTTGTGGATGAAAGGCTTTGGTCGGTTGCCTCTTGAAAACATTCAATGCCCGGGTCAATGCTTGCATCGACTTGGCCAGTAGTGTTAGTTTGGGCGTTCAACATTTCATTCGACTCATTCGAGTCTTGTGATGCGCGAGCATCGAGATCTGGCTCCTTCCCCAGATATGAGGCACGGATATCGCTTGCACTCAAGGAATCTAGCTCTTCTTCTTCCTGTTTCCGACTTGTATCCTTTGATCTTGCCAATTCCTCTCCAACCTCGTCCAGTCTGGCGAAATTCGAAGAAGTGGGCTTGTCATTGGCGACCAGACCGTCCATTCCCAGGGTAGGTATGTGATCCGCAGGAAGTGATTGCGATTGTATGGCTCCTTGGTGCGCATCATGTCTTAAGAATGGCTTGACCGAGTCGCTGTCTGAAAATTCGGACAGGCTCTCCTGTTGGGCTAACTCTCGTACTGCTCTTTCCGTAGCGCTACTAGTCGCTTCCGGTGAATTTGAAGAGCTCTCGAAGAACTTGAGATAATCTCTAGACTCAGTCTGAGCCGTTTCCTCATCGGCGCATGATGGAGTCTTCTGCGATTGATTTTTCACGACTGTCATTGGTGCAACGTCTGTCGCCAAGTCACCATTACATTTTTCCTGAATAGAAGCATCCTGAGAGCCAGACTCCACTGGATCTCGGTTTAGAGGAGACATATAGCCGGTGGTCTCCGAGGCGGAGGTAGTGTCCGCAGCCGAAAAAACTGGGCTTCTCCCACCTTCACCTTTCTCAGCAACATCCGGATTCTTGGCTATCTTAGGAATCATACGACCACTAATAGGGTCGAACTCGTATCTCGTGACATTCTTCTTTGTGTGAATCGCAACTGGGCCTCTTGGCTTACCTGACTCGGTTGACTGGGGTTTCTTGAGCGTGTCCGGGGTCTTCTTAGATCTTGTCGTGGTCGTCATGGTACGCGGCGTCTCATGGGCTATATCCGCATGGGCCTTGTCCACGGATTTGTCACCGAGCCCAAACAGCGCACGACATAAGGAGGTAAACGTCTTATCGAATCTCTCAAAAGACTTCAATGGCTCAAGTCTCCTTCCAAAGATAGCTCCGTAAGGGTCATTTTCAATTGCCTGCTTTATGTGGTCCATCGTGCGACGAGTACGGTTCACCTCCATTTCCCAAAAGTCTTTATAAGAGCTTGGATGCCTTGAGAACTTTTCGTTGATCTTCTGAAAAGGCAGGCTTGAGCTCCAGGTATGGCTCCACAACGGCTGATGATCCTCAACGATAGGATCTACTGGTCGAGCTCGACGGGTCGGTTTGGTTCGCATCCGAGGTTCACAAAGGTGTTGATGCTCATAGATGTGCTTCTTGTTGAAGTCTGGGCCATGTCGATGGTTGTGAGAGCAGCGCGATAGCTTGCGGTGCTTGGAGGAGGATATCACGAGTCGAGACGAAACGGAGTGTATAGCGAGAGGGTAAGTGCCGGACAGAAGTCCGGACCCCCTGATTGTCTTCATATGCCATGTTGTCATTGAAATGCCCATGATGCTGCCCTTTTCACTTGGGGTTGCTTGGGTCTTGGATACGAGGAGCCAAAGACGGGACAAAACAGGTGAGCAACAATGACCTCAGACCGAGACGGCCGCGAGGCTATAGACAGTCACATCGAACGATGTAGTGACGAGCGGAGAAAGAGGCCTGACATAGGCCGGAGATTAGCTTTGTAGAGCAAGATAGTGATATGGGGTCGAAAGTTCCCAAGTCCCAAGTCGATGAAGGAGTTTGACAACATGCATTGAACAAGACCATGCAGGCAAGTTGTTAGTGATAAGACGATAGGGTGGAGGAGCTGCGATAAGACCAGTCGGTCAATGCGGGGTTAGGGGGCTGAGTCAGCTACCATGACATCTCTCACACTTCTGAACTCGCTATTGATGCTGGCCGAAAGTATGTGCTCGAGATGACACTCAAATAATGGTTCAATAGCACCACTGAGCCTATTATCTGCTATTTTTGTGTTCTTTCGTCCCAGAATCCACGAACCCACGCATGTCTGCCTTCTGTCAACACCAAATGTTCTCTATAATAATGCTGCTCAGGTACATCTATTGACCTCATCTAGAACTATCCCTGACAAACCCAAATCACCAACAATGGAGGTCTCAGACAGAAAGTTGGCCCAGAATCGCAAACCTTCAATGCCCTCCTCCCGGCAAAGAACTCCCTTGTCCTCGGCCATTTCTAACTCCTCCGCTGCAACACCTACGCTCCATCCAAATCGCTGTGCTGCTTCCTGGGCAGTGACGGCACGTCCAAACATACGCCAGTCCCAGGCAACTGTTTCCGTTGGAGGCACTTGTCGGAGCTCTGTCATCCATGTCTGTATCTTTCGGAGGGTCTCTTCATCGCTCCAGTCCCACCTCTGAACAACAAGCAAGCCACTTTTGAATTGGCGTAGGCGCACCGGCAGTCTAAGTGCCTCCCATAGCTCCGCTGCCTTCTGGAAATCGGAGGGGCTGACGAGCTCAACACCGTTCCGAGACCGGTTGAATATCGCCCAGAGATCAATAAGGCTTATGATGCCGCCTTCTTTGTTGAGCAAGCCCTTGCGGTCGTCGGTCAAGTATTCGGCCAGATTCCGTGAGAGTTCGGAGATGTACAGACTTCCAGCGCCACTACCAAGCATATCCTTAGTTGTCACCATCCCCATCGTTTCCGCAGACTCCAGAAGGACTGCATTCGCTTCTCCTGAGAGATCGCCATTGGTCATGCCCGACTCTCGCATAGATGCAGCAAGCGCCATCACCTGCTTGGCAGATGCCATCAGCGCCTCTAAGTCCTCAAACGCATTTCCGATGACAAGTTCATTGTTCTTGCGAGCCTGGAGACCTCGCTGTTCGAGGCCTGCAATGCCCACTCCAGGAGACCGGGAGGGCGATGGCACACTTCCTTCCGCAGGTGAAGTCACAGTTAAGCCCGGGGAAGCGATCGCGTGCAATTGCGACGGCTGCTGCGGCACCGGCGGGGCATCATAAAGCAGCCATTTTCTCTGAATTAAAGCGCCTTTCAACCTCTCATGAAAGATCTGTATACCACCGGCCCGGAAAGACAATTTCATACAGTCAGTAATCTCCGTGCTCTTGATGCTATTATGGCTGAAAACGGGTGCTGGCGATTCTGCGCGATACGAATCAATCTGGGAAGACTTCAAAGCACCCCCCGCCGCTGCCAGGGAGGCACCACAAATCTCACATTCGGTGAGAGACGGGTGATTCACAAATGTGCAACGTGGACATGACAGCTGAGCGTTGTCCGAAGACGATAAGCTCCGAGGGCCGTTGACTGGAGCTAGGGCCCCAAGCCCGGACAAAGTCGGATTGGATTGGGTTGGAGGACCATCTCGGCTGGATGTGGCAGTGATTACGGCTTTTAGAATTGTAGCCAAAGGTGGTTTGATGCCACAAGCTAAACAAGGTGGGATTGGTGTCGACGCTGTGGCTGTAGAGGGGTCGAAGTTCGAAGGCACGGGATTTGAAAACGAGCAGATAGGACAGACCCAAGTCGCATTGATGACCTTGGGAGTGACAGGCTGAATCTGAGGTCTAGGGGCCAGAAAACCCGGTGACTGCCCCCGAGATGGGCTTGCGCCGGCGCTCTTCGATTTGCTGAGGGAGCTCTTTGGCGGCCTCGGATATAATGTGATCTTCGGTGATGATTTCAGGAAACCTGCCTGAATAGAATCAACGACTGAACAGGGGATCACTCCAGGTGCGTCATACCTGATACTCCGCCCTGTCAACCTCTTTCAGATCGATGGCGACAGAGTACCTCCGTGGCTCCTCGAGCGCGACATAGCACACCCGGTGCGAGGTCAAGTATGCATGGCCATTCTGATAGTTGGGAATTTTGTATTTCCTACCATTGCCGCAACATTATCATTCCGTAATCGAGGTTGGCCCAAGAGGCACACATTTGCATGCATGCATTCTACCTTGTTCAAAGGAACCGCTGGCGACTTACCCTTCGTACAACCCCACCGCATCCTGGACAAATAATAAGGTTTCGTCGGGCAAAAGTGCAGGTCGGAGTGCGGTAGTTAGATCCAAAGGCTTGAAGAACATCTAGTAGAGCCAAACAGCATCTCTTCGCCGGTCGAACTGGGAAGAGGGCAATGTCTTTTTCTGTTTTGAAGTTGAATTGAAAGAACCGTTTGACTGTTTGGGAGGATGACGATGGGGGTCTCTCCCTCTTCGTTATCGGTAAGTTTAGATCATCGGCGAGACTGCTAACGTAATCAATCATCAATTGGGGGGGAGGGGAACTACGGCAAGCGACATCGTCCACTGGCGTCAAGGGAAAATCTCCGCCACCGGATGAAGTGGAAACTGGCTGAGCGGTAAGCAGCTTGACTTGTCCTCCCTCGCTCCTCTTTCCTCCTCATTCCCCTTCTCCTCCCCCTCTCTTTTTTTGTGAAAACGCTTCGTCTTTTATCGAACCTCCCGCAGACAACTTCAAGACTTCGCTCTCTTGTGGATTCGTGGCGGCAAACATACATCTTTCTCCTGAAACTGTCGTCTTTGCTCTGTCTGTGTAGGAACGATGTTTTGACCTGTCTCCTATAATATCGAAATCAACTCACTCGTAGCTCATACTTCTTTTTCTTGCCTTTTACCCTTCGCTTCCCCTTTATCCCTTGTTGGCCCTCGTTTAGACCTGTGTCCGATATGAGTGCTGGTATTCCACCTTGGCGTGCCACGGCGGCAGCTCCTACCGCCACGGCTTCTCTGTACTCCAGTCATGGTATGTGCACTCCTCATTCACTTACCCCGTCGATATTAACCAAGACGATAGCAACCCCTGCCTATACCCCTGTTCAAGCACGCCGTAGTATTACCACTGCCAAAACAACGATCTCTGCCCCAACACCGGCTTCGTCGCACCAAACATCTACGGAAACCGCCCCCCGCAAACAACGAGTAGAGTGGCCAGAACCGGTGCGATTGTACGTACAACGCAGTTTTGCACCTGAAAATCGGCTCGCTGGAGTCGAGCGAGGCGAGATGGAAACCAAACTCCGAGCCGTCATCACCGAAGCGGCCGAGAATAATATGCTCGATAAGATCGATTGGTCCAACTTGCCCCTGCCTCAAGTCATGGTTCAGAATGATCGAAACAAGATATTAGCTAGCCCTAGCGTATCGACTTGGGGCACCTTCGGCACACTTTCACCCAAGAAATCCAATAGCAACGGGCTGGAAGACGTGTCGAAGAAGCGGAAGTCGGTGGAGTACCAAGGGGATGCGAACGGCTGTCCCCCTTGGCGGAAAACTAACAATCACAATGCTTTTGAAGATCGAGTCACCTATGCCTCAACTGATAAGCGCCAAAGAATAGATTTGAAGAATACTAGTAAGTCTAAAGCCAATCTGGAAATGCGGAGGAAACGCTTCGAAGAGCCTCAGGCTTCTAATGGTTCCTCCGTGTCGTCCCGCGGCACCTCACCCGTCCCTGCTGCGAACACCGGCCCTGTTGTCGGAACTTGCCAGGAGTTGGAAAAGAACTATTTCCGCCTGACTGCCGCACCGAAGCCGGAGACCGTGCGGCCCTTGCATATTTTGCATAAGACCTTGGACGTGCTGAAGAAGAAGTGGAAAAAAGACAACAACTATACATATATTTGTGACCAGTTTAAGTCGTTGCGGCAAGATCTGACAGTGCAGCATATTAAGAACGAATTTACTGTCAGCGTCTACGAGATACACGCCCGAATCGCATTGGAGAAAGGGGACCTTGGTGAGTATAATCAGTGTCAGACTCAGCTTCGCGCACTGTATGCACAGCAGCTTGGCGGGCATCCCACAGAATTCCGGGCATATCGTATTCTCTACTTCATTCATACTCGCAACTGGACGGCCATGAACGATGCTTTAGCCGATCTAACCCCAGCAGACAAACGGGATCCTGCTGTGAAACATGCCTTGGATGTACGCTCTGCCCTTGCTCTCGGAAACTACCACCGATTTTTCCAGTTGTACCTTGATACCCCGAACATGGGAGCTTATCTCATGGACATGTTTGTGGATCGCGAGCGATTGTCGGCCTTGGCAGCAATTTGTAAAGCGTGAGTGGTACCTGTTCGCCGGCTTGATTCACTTGCTAACCTCGAAATTAGATACAAACCCGACGTAAAAATACGATTTATCACCGAAGAACTTGGTTTCGAGTCCGATGAGCAGAGTGCACGCTTCATTCTGGATCATTCCGCTGAGGATCTGCTTCAGGAGAAGGAGGGGTCTGTGAGACTCGTGACGGGGCCCAGGGCCGGTCAGCTTTTTGAAGCTGCCAAGGCCGACGCTCATCGGATCGTCGATATCAAGGGCCAGATCTAAGTTCATTTCTGTTTCTTTCAAGCCATTCTGCACATTTTCATTCTACATCACCTTCTGGATACTCTTGCGTACCCTCGACATATCAGTTTTCCTTCTACCGTCATGGTGTTTGGAGTCATCTTTTCAGATCGTTTTACCCCGTCGTATTCGTTTTCTCTTTTCTTGCGGCACACCAAAATATCTTTTTATCGGCATCGCAGGCGTCTGGATATTGACTTTTCGTCGAAGTGAGGAGATCTATACCCATTTCGACTCCGGGAAGCGTTGGTTGAGTCGGGATTTTCTTGCGAGCCGGAGTGGGGATGAGGCAGAACAGTACTTCTAACCTTTAGTTCGATAAATCTCGGTAGTGCAATTGAATACGAGGATTTTGTTTTGTATTCATTTTCTCAGGATGCGGAAGTAGAAATAGGGCGAGCAATGGGACTGGACATGTCTTGGCCGAGCGTCTCAGCTTGCGCGATTATCTATAATGTCCACCCGATGGTTCTCACTCCGGGAGTCGGAAGTGATTTCTCGTACTTTTATTTAGCAACACTCTTGTCAGTTGAATCTTTCAAGTGATGGCCAAGTGAACTGCCTATGATTGATTAAAACAAGGCAGGAGCTTCGACTCGGGGGGAAGGGATCCCCATCTTCCGGGATCTAGGATCCCGAGTCGAGTATCCAGCATAGTAGTATTTTCTGATGCATCCCTCGATGATCAACATCAAGGTCTAGACCGGGCCTTTCCACCATTTCCGCCATCGCAATACGGTCTGCTATCGACCTACCTCACTATCTTTCACCTGTCACTAGCATTGCACTGGTTGTTGTCATTCTCAACACCAGACAGTACTAGCCCCCCCTCCTTATGACCGACTATGTGTGTGTGTGTGTGTGTGTGTGTGTGTAGCTCATCCCCCCTCCAGCAAAATGAAACCTGAATATAAGACACCAAGCACCAAAGAAGCCGACCCTATCCGTAAGTATGAAACAACGCAGCTCAACTTACCCCGCTCAACCCAATGTTTCAACCGTCATTGTGACATATCATCTTACCCTCCACAGTGACCATGCAGTAACAAACTTATAGGGACGCTAACGTACACCTACTTTATCTGCCGAAACCGCCAAATGTGATCGGTCTGATGGATCTCGGGATGCTCCACGTTGTTATGCACGCTTGATGTCATTGGTGCTTGGGGATGTCGCGGGTTGCGGGGCCTTGTTTCGGTTTCGCTGGGTGGTATAGAGGATAGAGTAGCTTTTGTGGGTGGGTTTGTTGGTGATGGAGGGGTGGGAGGAGATGGGTAGCTTCGGGGTAGGTAGGTGGTGTGGTTGTGAGGGTTATGGGTTTAGTTGTTGTTGGAGTTGGGGTCTGTGAAGTGATGCTGGGAGGAGATAGGTGTGCTGCTGAGGCTTGCTACACTGTTCGCCATGGAATCGAGGGTTACAAGCGCACAGAGAAATATTGTGAGGTGGTTGGTTGATTGATTCTTTGGTTGGGTTGAGGGCATCTAGATCTACAGCCATGATGTCGGTCGAGAGTTATGCTTGTTGGCCAGGCCGTACTGTGGCAGGAAAACCATTAGCCTGTACATACAAATATTGATGCGGTAGCTTCGTTCTAGGCCCGTCAATGGTTAAAACTTTGAATGGAGAGCACTCCAGAACCAACCTCTTTCCCACAAGAATATGATCAATATGAACCTTACATATTGCTTCAGAAGCTACTACGCCCGACTTTGCAATATACCTGGATGCGATTTAGAATGAAGGTGTTCTCCTCCAAATCGACCGCGTACATTAGTGCTGTAGATTATGCTGCAACGAACCCGTCAATCTGCAAGGGCGTCTGCAGCAGCTCTGCAGGCTTGCAGAAATCGGCGGTTCCGAGTGTTCGTCTTCGGGAGGGAAGCCCACTGAAGGAAGTTCAGGAAGTACTTTTTTTTGACGGAGGAAAGAATTGAATTGGTCCCTGAGGAATTTCAGAGTAGAGAGAGTCAAGGAGTCATTTTGTTTCAAGTGTAGGTCGCCACATGGCGATATCTCAGGTTTCCATATTATCGGAAAGGAAAGTCAAGTATCACAAACCCTAGAGCGGTAGTTACTGTACTAGATAGATAGCGACTGGAGTTGCAACTACGTACAGTGCGGTACTGTACATCCGCAATTATGAAATAATCCCAATATTCCATCTCGGACCGGATAAGTTGATCGGCTAAACAAGCTTGATTTACTCTGCACCTTTTTCTTTTCTTGAGCTAGCTGAAAATGGGCGAAAACAGAGTTTCTGGTGGTCCGTGGATGGCAAGGCAAGAGTTTAAGCATTTTTGCTCATCTGTTCTGTTCCCCGTCCGAGCTCACTCACTCATTCACTCATATCGGCCAGAAGAGCCAACCGAGGAATGGTCGCAAGCCCCTCCCGGCTCTCTACCCAAGAATTCCTGGGCTGATGACCAGAATTCGAGGTAGATCTTTGCCGTGTGTTGGGGGGCTCTTCGGGGGAATGTCTTATACTATGCTGGCTGTTATATCCTATGGTCTAAGATATAATGATTTCATACTGATGTCTTGGTTATTGAGGATATTGAATTGTGAACTGTGAACGAGTCAAGCCGAGTCAAGTTATCTTCACAGCTGCCGAGGCCACATCCGCACGCAGCAACCCCAGTGCCACCAGTGCCACCAGTGCCACACAGCCCACAGCCTGCCCACAGACCACCTCCGACCGACGAACGCACTCCACTGCAGTTCCCGGACTGGACTGTCCAATTAATATTATCAGATTTCGTTCTCCGATGAGCCAAAATCTGGTCCACGGTAACTTATACGGTACACACAACGTGGGTGAGAAAAGTACGGTCTGACTGTCCTTGGGAACAATTCTAGTACCTTCGGCTCCTGATTAGTTTCCCGGAGAAAAAGGTTTGTGCTTTTATTTTGTATCTTTCCAACGAGCTGGTTGGTATCCAATTCCACTGCGGATGTTCTTCCTGTTTGGCACTGGTGCGGTATGGTGTGCCCAACCTCCGTCCAGGGGGGGGTTGATCACACTGCAGAGAAAGTGAAAGGGGGAGTAAAAGTGAAGGGGGTTCCTTTTCTTTTTCTGTTCAAGGGAAGAAAAAAGCAAATAAAAAATAAGTCAAGGGCCTTGATTGCAGGTCCGAATCAAGGTGATGGAGAGACAGCGCCGGAAGGCATCAGAGTAGGGCATACATCCATGCAGCAGGGCCGGGGAGTAACATTCGCTGCTGAGAAGATCTAAAATGAAGGACCGTATTGGGGGGGGGCGTGGGTGGTCAGCAGCTGAGCTTCTCAGGTTTGAGGTGAGCGCCTTTAGGCAGTGAGGCACACACACATCCTACTCAATACGTTTGTTGTATGACTTAGTAGTCTGCTAGATTTTTCTGTTGAGATACATATATCACTTGTCCTATCAACCATATGGGAAATGATTAAATGTGAAGACTGTCGTCATTTCTCTTCTGCTGATGTAAGTCGACCACGAGTATACTCCATACAGTTTTCTGCGCATCACTACATATACTCATAGATCACTCCAGTACGAGTAAAACAAGACCCGCGATCATCGGCGGCACCCACAGTTATCCGAGACGAGTTCCCATCATCGTTAACGGCTACCGCATGATGACAGACAGACCCAACAGCTTAACAGACCTTCTTGCCACACCCTACTTCTAAGTTTTTTATCCTTGCGACCACAGGGCTGGGGGGACACCCAATCAACCGGGTTTGGGGTAGCTGGAGTTTTCCCGCCACAGTTGAACCACCACCACCACCACCACCACTACCACCACCACCACTACCACCATCATTACCAGCAAGCAGTTCGTTCTTCTCTCCTCCGAACTTTCTTGTCCTTTGAGTCCCATCAGTCCATCAGTGAGTCAGTCCATCGATAGTGCACACTGTTTCCTCCCCACAGTTTATCGATCAACGGCGACCTTCCCATCCACTGGGTCGCAAGCCACCAGCCATCCTGCCAGCCATCCAGCCATCCAGACAGACAGACCTTGCCTCTTCTCTCCAAACCATCTGCAACCTCGTTCACCACCTTCTATCTGCCACCCACTGTCGCAAGGAGGAAAAGAATAAGACGCAACCATACACATCACTGGCTCAGGGCCGGTTTGCGCGTGGATCCCCTCCATTGTCAAGCAACTTATCAACATCGACATCTTCAGGGGCGGGGCCCTTTCAAAGGAAAAGCGGGCCACTTTCTTCTTGCGTTGTCGCAATCCAGAACTTCTTTTCCTCCACCTCTCCCCTCCCTCCCTCCAATCCACGTTACAGGTTCACCCGTGGTTAATTCTGGGACGACTAAAAAAAAGATCCAGTTGAGTAAAGGCAAGGGAAGACAGGGGAAAAAAAATCGCAACAGAAAAAGCAAAATAGGAGGGCAAGAAACACTCCCTATCTGCCCATCCAGTCCTTCCATTCTGTCAATCGAGTCAACCCTCGACAGGGTGCGCGCAGTTCATTACTATTATTACCTATTAGTACTCGGACACTTCCATCTGATTTATTATCAGTACTCTTCAACTGCCGCCCCTCCTTTCCCTTCATCTTGCTCAACCAGACGTGTCTCTCGCTCTCCCTCTCTCTCTCTGAACAACATTTCTTTTTTTTTTCTCTTTTCATTGTTCATAAAACTTTATTTTTTTATCCTTCCCTCTTGATTCCATTCCTTCCATAGACCTTCTACGGTTCTTCCTAAAAGGGGTGTTGCCTCCATCCGAGTTTCTCTTTCTACAAGTCTTTCATTGCCTGAATCCGCCTGCCTGTCCTCCCTTTTCTTTTCTCCCGTATGGTGGCTGATGACCCGGAGTTCTTTGAAAAAGTGAATGAACTTCTTGTCCTGGTCCCTGAGCCTTATATTATATTATACTCTCACTACTATCGATCGCTTGGTTGATAGATAGATTGAACACAGCCGGTGACATCTCAAACATCTGTCGGGGCGCAAGTCAACTTAAGACAGGCCGACTTGCCGAAACAAGAATGAAGGTATGTTTCGCAATTGCTGAAACCTGCAAACTGGATCCGATCCAGCTTTAACGCCCCTCGTTTCCCGCCCCTCGTTTATCTCGATTGTCGCTTGTTCTTGTTCCGAGACCAAAATTAATTACTAGCAACAACGACCGACTTTGGGCTGGCTGGCTGGCTGGGCTGGCCGCCCGCTTGGTTGTTTGCGATTGCGGTTTCTCTTTCTGCCAGTCCTCGAGATCCGTCTCTAGTCTTTCCTCCATCTTGAGGCGATTTCTTTTCCACCTTCACTCATACACTCTTTCCTTTCATTCATTCCGTCGATTCATCAATTCCTCTTAATCCAATCTAACGCTGCCCCCCGCATCATTCTCTAGGCCATTCGACGTTCACTGAAAGGGGAGAAAGATCCCAAACCCCACCATCATCATCACCATCTTTCCATCACGCCCAAGTCCGCCATCGCCATCCTCCCGCCGAAGAAGGTACGTTATGTCTGTTTTGGCTGCTGCACCTTTCCCGTTCCACTTTCCACACACATCCTCCACCCCCCCCCCCCCCCAAATCTTCACTTGCCCATGTCTCCACATCCCATTCTTGTTCTTTTCCGTCTTTTTATGCTTTGTCACTATTTTTGACTCTTTTACATAACTTAATCACTTACCCCCCCTTTTGTACCCCTCCTTCATCCTGTTTCTTCCTTCCATGACTACTTGATCCCGATCGCTTCTGTTTGTGGGGTGTGGGATTTGTTTTTCTTCGCATCCGCCCTTGGGTCGCCGGCGTCAAGACGGACAAATCATTTGCTCGCAAACAGCTGTTAACTTAACATCCCTGTTTTGCGCATAGGTTATCAAAGCGCTCTTCGATTACCAACCGGAGCCCGGGAACACACAGGAGCTCGCGTTCAGCAAGGGAGACTTTTTTCACGTTATCAGCAGGGAGGACGACCAGGATTGGTACGAAGCGTGCAATCCCCTCATCCCTAGTGCTAGGGGGTTGGTTCCCGTGTCCTTCTTCGAAGTCATCGGTAAGAACGAGAGAGATAGCGTCGGCTCTGTCGACTACTTTAAAAAGAAAGAGCCGCACGACTCTGGTTTCTCAGATCGCGCCGCGTTCCCCGCCTCCGATTTCGTTCACAGCCCACCCCGATCCTCGTCGCAGCTCAGGATGTCAGCCTTAGGGAAGGGCTCGAGCCCCATGGTCTACGGCATCGTTCAGTACGACTTCCAGGCTGAGCGACCAGATGAACTGGATGCAAAGGCCGGCGAGGCCATCATTGTGATTGCCCAGTCGAATCCGGAATGGTTTGTCGCTAAGCCCATCGGTCGCCTGGGAGGGCCAGGTCTGATTCCGGTCTCTTTTATCGAGTTGCGCGACATGCAAACCGGCCAGGCAGTAACCGATCCGTTGGAGGCCGTTAGGCGCGCCGGCGTGCCCAAGGTAGAGGAATGGAAGAAGATGACGGCCGAGTACAAGAACAGCAGTATTACTCTGGGTAAGATTGAGAGCAATGGCTCCTCATCGATGCAGTCGGTCACGTCTGGAGTGGATCGGATGTCTATTGGTCGCCAAAGCACTAGCCAAATGAGCCAAAACGGCCACATGTCTGTGAGTTTCAAGTCCTTGCGCATCCATGGAGAGTCAGTCGCTAAATTGATGCGGGGACAGGCCTACCACAACCGCAACGCAAGCAAGAGTTCACTTGTGCAACAAGCTTCCCATCAGTCCCACCAAAGCTACCATCAACCTTTCATGGCGCCTATCGCTGCCTCAATCCCTCGTTACTGCTTCGACAATGATAAATACTGGTATATTATCGAGGCCAAGATGGAGGACGGCCGTTGCTGGGAATTGTCTCGCTACTACCACGACTTCTACGATTTCCAGATCGCACTCTTGACCCAGTTCGAGGAAGAAGCGGGTAACCGTGGGAAGCCGCGCACTTTACCTTATATGCCGGGGCCTGTCACACACGTTACGGATGCGATCTCCAACGGCCGTCGTCAGAATTTGGATGAATACATTAAGAAATTGCTGGCCATGCCTCCTCACATTTCCCGCTGCCAACTGGTCCGCCAATTATTTGCGCCCCGCGCTGGGGACTTTGAGATTGATCCGAGCGCATTTGGCGAGGACGCACGGTTCTCTGGTGGCTCGCACCATTCGTCGACGCACGAGCCCTCGCGCAGCGTCTCGCGGCAGTCCTCGCAAGCTCCGATCGCCGTGCACACTGATCGCAACTCTCACCAACGGGGGCAGCCGTCGCTGTCTCTGGGCAACGGCAACCCGCCTCCCATGAACCGCCAACCTAGTTCGATTACCCAAGTTTCTACCACCTCTAGCAGCGGCGCTATGAAGGTTAAAGTGTTCTTCCAGGATGACTTGATCGCCATCCGGGTCCCTAGTGATATCAGCCTCCAGCAGCTGAAGGAGAAGCTGATTGACCGTCTGAAGATTCAAGACGAAATCGTCGTCCAGTATAAGGATGAGCCATCCGGCACGTATGTCGACTTGGCCAATGACGCCGACCTTGACACGGCGATCTCACGAAACTCCAAACTCACACTATATGTCGGAATTGCATAGAAGCGGTGATCCTCTCTTATCTCTTATAGACCTGTCTGTTCTTTCCTTTCCGTTTGTCCTCGCCCTAACATGTTCTGTTGCGGGTGTACTGGTGTTATGGTGTCCTTCTCTTTCTGCCCTTGGTCTTCAGCCTCTGAGCGAGTGTTGTTGTTCTGAGTCACGAGGTTGATACGATGACAAAATGACATGTCTGAAACGTTTATGCCATCATGTACCCTCTTTGAATTTTCCTTTGTCCACCAGGCCATGGCTGATTGTGTCCTCCATACCCTGTTCTGCGCGCGTTGTTGTTCCGTGTACATAAGCCCTCTTCTGCATATAATCTCAGCGACTGTAGGTGGATACCTACTTCATTTTTATTTTTGTGTACCTAGAGTAATTCAATCCATAGCAGTGTAAAAAGACCAGCCAATCAACCACGGGACAATTTCCATCTCCGCGAGTTTACTTACGTCAGCATCGGATCAATTGCCGAGAGCCAGATCACATGACGAGCATCGGAACGAGGTCAATCCCCTTGGCTTTTCGTGGGAATCCATGTGTTGGTTGGTCATACTTCTCAATTTTGCGCTAGATTTTGTGTCTTTCTTCTGTATATTGTGACGACTCTCGAAGTGGACTGTACTGTACATATCGCTCCTCCCACGGCTTGTCTCTTATCGCGTGTCCTGAATCCTCCGTCCACTGTTCCGACTGCGATCCTTTCGTCCCCGCTTTTTGTCCCTCTCCGCCGATTATTTACCGACCGGGCAACCTCGGTCGAAACGGAGTGAAGAAGCGCTTTCCACCGGTTTTGCACTGCTTACATGCGCTTGACGATCGCTACAAAGCGCCTTTGAGACTTTCTTTCTTTCCATTCTTCTTTCTGCTTACAGTTCCTGCACCCATGAGCGGCTCGTCGGCGAAAGTCTGCGCGGACTACTTGCCCAGCGCATTGCGGGTCCGGGGCTCTGTCCTGCGTCGTGCCGCACCTGCTCCGCGGGAAGGAGGAGGAGTCCGTCGAGCATGTTCTCGTGACACTCGTCGGGGCTTGCATCATGATTCTCGGGCTGTGCGTCCGTCGCCGAACGTGCGGGTTTGTGGTGGTTCTGGCCCTGTTGACCTGAGGCGGGTTCAGGGTCAGTATGCGCGGAGATTCGCGACGGCAGTTCAGGAGAAGGGCGAAACCTCTTCTTCTACCTCCCCGGGTGCAGCTGGGCTGCGCGGGGGTCCGTTGGCCGAGTATGATGTGAGAGTGCAGGAGGGTCGCTTGCGGGATGATCCTTATCAGCGACGTAAGTGTCTCCTTTACCTTCCGGGCGTGAAGCAACACCAGCGGGGAAGTGTCGCTAACTCGAGATTGTTGTCCCTAGAAATCATCGAGAAGCTCCAAGATCTCTACGAACGCCTGACCTCCTACCACCCGCCCGCGGTGGTGCACCCGAGCCCGGAATCCCTCGACCCCAAACCCAAGTCGTCCTCGTTCTTCGGCTCGCTCTTCGGGCGCAACCACGACAGCGCGAAGTCGGAGTTGACGATTTCCGAGTCCCTGCCCAAGGGCCTGTACATGTACGGTGATGTCGGGTGCGGCAAGACGATGCTGATGGACCTGTTCTTCGAGACCCTGCCGGAGAACATCCGGGCGAAGAACCGCATCCACTTCCACAACTTCATGCAGGACGTGCACAAGCGCATGCACGTGGTCAAGATGAAGTACGGCCATGATTTCGACGGGCTCCCGATCGTAGCGGCGGACATTGCGGCGCGGTCGAGCGTGTTGTGCTTCGATGAGTTCCAGTGTACCGATGTGGCGGACGCGATGATTTTGCGGAGGTGAGAAAACACGCCCACAGATTTACACACTGTCCCCGTGACAAGAGCAATTCTTGGAATACTAAGCGCTATATCAAAAGACTCCTCGAACACCTCATGGCCCACGGCGTCGTGCTCGTCACCACCTCCAACCGCCACCCGGACGACCTCTACAAGAACGGCATCCAGCGCGACTCCTTCATCCCCTGCATCAACCTCCTCAAGACCGCCCTGCAGGTGATCAACCTCAACTCGCCGACGGACTACCGCAAGATTCCGCGCCCGCCGGCGGCCGTCTACCACCACCCGCTCGGCCCGGCGGCCGACGCCCACGCGCAGAAGTGGTTCGAGTACCTGGGCGATTTCACGCACGACCCGCCGCACCCGACCACGCAGGAGGTCTGGGGCCGGAAGATCGCGGTGCCGCTGGCCAGCGGCAAGGCGGCGCGCTTCTCCTTCCAGCAGCTGATCGGGACCGCCACGGGCGCGGCGGACTACCTGGAGCTGGTCCGCAACTACGAGGCGTTCATCATCACGGACGTGCCGGGCATGAATCTGAACCAGCGGGATCTGGCGCGACGGTTCATCACGTTCATCGATGCGGTGTATGAGAGTCGGGTGAGTCATCCCACCCCTCGGTCGTCGTCGACAAACTCATTCAGTACTAACTTTTCTGGATCAAGGCTAAACTCGTCCTCACAACCGCCACCCCACTCACCAACCTCTTCCTCTCCGAGTCCGACGTCCGCACCACCCTCTCCGACCGATCCGGCGACGACCACTCCGACCTCTCGGACGCCATGCGCATGATGATGGACGATTTGGGCCTGTCCATGCAGGCCCTCAAGACCACCTCCATCTTCTCGGGCGATGAGGAGCGCTTCGCCTTTGCGCGCGCCCTGAGCCGTCTCGCGGAGATGGAGAGTAAGCAGTGGGTGGAGCGGGGGTTGGCTTCTCCGGCTGGGGGAGCTAAGGATGGTGGTGGTGGTGGTAGTGCTGATGCCAAGGAGAAGGCGAAGGAGAGGGAGGAGTTTTTGAAGGGGAGGGGGCATTGGGCGGAGGATAATATGTAAATCCTCTTGCTCTTGAGGTAAGAAGACGAGGATGAGGATGAGGGTGGAGTGGTTGGAGGGAGGTGTCGAGGTGGTTGGTCTGGACTCTTAGATACCTAGAGCTGGATTGCGCGGGTATTACGGGTATCGCGGATGGTACATGGTCGGTAGGACAGGATAGATGGGATAAGATACGATAGGACGGGATATCCTGAGTACGCGAGGATCGAATTGGGTCAACAGCTAACTAGCCTATCTGTCTGCTTGCATGATGAGTGATGGTTCTTAGCTGGTGCTTCTGTGTACTGTACAGAATAGAATAGAATGCATGCTCTTGAATACCTATCTACTCAGGCCTTAGGCACTATGGAACGTCATTTGCAATCTCGGACACTCAATTGGGTGGTTCATTCGAATCCTAGTATAAGGTACTGTCGATCACGCGGTGCCTGCCAGGTGCTTGCTTACTTTTGTCTTTCCCAGAGGATTGTACTGAGGTACAGTACTATAGTTACTACTGAGTAAATATCTACCCCTAGCCTATAAACCAACCATCCTTCATAAGTACTGTACTTAAGGAAATTGGAGAACCCTACATACAGTACATATCAGAACTCCTCAACTACGTACATCATTCAAACCAGAAAGCATAAATGAATGTGTACCTGCTCATGTGCTCATCACATACCTACCTACCTACCTACCTACCTCTCTAACCCATTCCAATTCCAATGACGTCATCCGATCTTCTTCCTCAGGAAAAGACACCCCCTCGAGATACTAGGACTGACTAGATCATGCAACGAATTGATGTACTCGGAGTCTAGACTACAGACTCTGGACTACCATCCACCCGATCTAACTCAGTAATGAGCAGAATCAAGCTTTACACCCCTCGGAGATGCGAAACTACTATGCACCCGAAGTTCAAACCGGCTTGGGCGGGTACCTGACTGACATCATGGCCCTGACCCTGACCCGAACTGGCCGACTAGCACCGAACAAACTTGCTGGAAACTTCCGGCCCTGGTTCTTGGGACTTGCCCCAACAGAGAAACATGACTGGGCGATCGACACTCCAAATGGAAAACTCTTGCATCATATGGGTTCCTCCTGGTCAATAGCATTGGGCTAGCTGCGGAAGCTGAGTAACGGTGATTAGAAATGGGGGGATGCGAGTGGTCCGTGGAGGGGGTTGTAGGGCTGAAGGGAGGATGGTTCTGGGGGTTATATAAAGGGTCCCTGGGTACGAGTGAGGGAGAGATCATTGATACCACACCACACATAATTATACACCGACCAAGAATACAACATGTCCAAGCAGGAAGATCTCGCGCGCGATACCGTCGACCTCTCCGGGGAGAGTCAGGGCAAGCTGCCCATGACGACAGATTATGGGATCAAGATCGCCGACCCGGATCATTGGCTTCGGGTGGCGGATGCGAAGAGGACGGGGCCTTCGTTGTTGGAGGATCCTATTCCTAGGGAGAAGGTGGGTTTGTCATTGGAAACTGGTGTCTGTCTGTGTAGGAAGGACTTTCTGCTAATGGATGTTCCAGATCATGCGCTTCGACCATGAGCGTATCCCCGAACGTGTGGTTCATGCCCGAGGCGCTGGCGCCTTTGGCACCTTCACGCTGCACAAGGCCATCCCCGAGCTCACTGCGGCTGGGGTATTGACGGACACATCCCGCGAGACGCCGGTGTTCGTGCGGTTCTCGACCGTGCAGGGTAGTAAGGGGAGTGCGGACACCGTTCGGGATGTGCGCGGGTTCGCCGTGAAGATGTATACCGCCGAGGGGAACTGGGATATCGTCGGCAACAACATGCCCGTCTTCTTCATCCAGGACGCGATCAAGTTCCCCGATGTCATCCACGCCGTCAAGCCAGAGCCGCACAATGAGATCCCCCAGGGCCAGTCGGCTCACAACAACTTCTGGGACTTCCAGTACCTCCATCCGGAGACCACGCATATGCAGCAATGGGTAAGTGGCATCTGGTTGTACTTGTGGAACTGTGAACCAGTACTTATAATGGGTATAGGTCATGTCCGATCGTGCGATTCCCCGGTCGTACCGGATGATGCAGGGCTTCGGTGTCAATACTTTCTGTCTCGTCAATGCACAGGGACAGCGCCATTATGTCAAGTTCCACTTCACACCCGAGCTCGGTGTTCACTCCCTGGTGTGGGATGAAGCCCTGAAGATCGCTGGCCAGGACCCTGATTTCCATCGCAAGGATCTCATGGATGCCATCGACGCCGGTCAATACCCAAGGTGGAGGTTCGGTATTCAGGTTATCCCCGAAGAGAAGATGGACGACTTTGAGTTCGACATTGAAGATGCTACGAAGATCTGGCCCGAGGAGCTGGTGCCTATCCAGTATATTGGACAATTGGAGCTGAACCGTAACATCGACGAATACTTCACGCAGACCGAGCAGGTGGCCTTCTGCACCAGCCACATTGTGCCCGGTATCGACTTCTCCAATGACCCCCTGCTTCAGGGCAGAAACTTCTCCTACTTTGATACCCAGCTCTCTCGCTTGGGCCCTAACTGGGAAGAGTTGCCGATCAACCGCCCTGTGTGCCCGTACATGAACCTCGTCAACCGGGACGGCGCCATGAAACACCGCATCACCAAGGGCAAGGTGAACTACTGGCCCAACCGGTACAGCACCAACCCTCCTACCGCGCCGGACCAGGGTGGCTTCGCTACTTATCCGGAGAAGCAGCAGGGTGTCAAGACTCGTGGACTATCAGACAAGTTCAAAGAACACTTCAACCAAGCCCAGCTCTTCTACAACTCGCTTTCGCCCATCGAAAAGCAGCACGTTGCCAAGGCGTTTTCGTTCGAGCTGGATCACTGCGATGAAGAGATCGTGTACAAGCGCTTGTCTCAACGTTTGGCCGTGGTTGACCTTGAGCTGGCCAAGACGGTGGCGAAAAATGTCGGCGGCGACACACCCACCGAGGCCGGTAAGCCGAACGAGGGTAAGACATCAAAGGGACTCAGTCAGCTCGAGTATCTCTCCGATGACGCACAGATCGCGACTCGTCGGATTGCCATCCTAATCGCGGACGGATTCGATTACGACTCATATATGAAGATGAAGGAGGCTCTGCAGAAGCAGAACGCGTTTGTCTTCACCATCGGCACCCAGCGCCAGGGGGTAACGGCGGAGTCGGGTGAGACGGTAGTTCCAGATCACCATTTCCCCGGTATGCGGTCAACTCTGTTCGATGCAGTGTTCGTCCCCGGAGGCAAGCACATTGCTGCCTTGGCCAAGAACGGTATAGCCAAGTATTGGATCACCGAGTCATTCGCCCACCTGAAACCAATTGCCGGTCTTAATGAGGCAGTGGACTTCATTCGGAAGCAGATCAACCTGGACGCAGTGAAGCACGCTTCCAGTGGTGAAGTGGTGGAGAGTTACGGTGTGGTCACCGGCCATGGTTCCCCAGCAGAGCTACTGCAGCCGTCGTCAAAGATTGGCAAGGACAGCAAGGGATTTTTGGACCGGTTTGTCTGGCAGATCTCGCGGCACAGAAACTGGCAAAGAGAGTTGGATGGCTTGGCGGACGAGATCGCAGCCTAGGTGGTTTGGATCGTTGGATAGTTATGAGACATGATAGCTCCTCAATAATTAATGAAATTGGTTTCTTTTTCAAAGACGTACCGAAGTGTCAGCCACACCAATAAGTATCCACTTTCGCCCTGTATAGCTCAGGGGTAAGAGTCAATAATGCAGACAAAGTCGGGCTGCATGTGATGTGTGACTTTAATTCTGGTTTGTTGCAATGCAAACGCCCTAAGCCTGAGGCCTGAGAGAATATAAAGGCAGCAGCGTGGCCAGCAGAGCGTTGCTGGGTTTCTCCTCATCTCTCTCCTATAAGACCACCCTGTGAGCTGTTCCGGAAGTTCTCCTCGCGTGTGATCTGTACATTTCAGCCTGGTTCCACGGAAAATCAGTAGGGTGGGTGCAGATGGACATGTAAGGGGCAGGGCTTGACCGGTAAGTTCTCGACCAGCCGTGACTCCTTTATCAACCACGTCATTCGTGGTCGGTCTCATTGTTACACCAGACAGAGGGGGGCCATGTCACCCAGAATCTCGCGCTCTCAGCGCTTAATGGTCGTCATTGCAATTTCCTCTGCCTTCTTTGTGTCGGAGATCTCAGGTGCATATTCTCCTGTCACACCGGGCGTTAAGATCATTGCTCACTGTCACTAATCATTCGATACCATAGTTGGTTTTTACACACATTCCCTGGCTTTGGTGGCCGATGCATTCCATTACGTGCGTCTGGGATGATCCTTCGAGAGACGATTGCTGATGGTCGCAGTTGAGCGACCTGATATCCTTCATTGTTGCCTTTCTAGCTCTCAGAGTAGGCGAACTTTTGCACTGAGACAAAATAAGAAAGCTGCTGAAGCATATGCTAGGTATCTGAGGCCGATGACTCGCCCAAAGCACTCTCTTTCGGATGGCAGCGAGCCCAGTTGTTGGGCGCCTTTTTCAACGGAGTCCTTCTGTTCGGGCTCGGTATATCGGTCTTTCTGCAGTCCATTGAGCGATTTATCTCGATAGAGCGTGGGTGCCTTTTTGTGGAAGGCCGATCCTTAGCTGACCGTCGATAGGCGTCGAGAATCCTAAATTCATGTTTATCATGGGTTCTATCGGCCTAGGACTCAACCTGATCAGTGCGACCTTTCTTCATGGTGTGTTCTGACCGTTTTGGCACCTGGGGTGTGGTTAACAAGAGGTTAGAGCATCACCACCATGGACATGATCACGACCATCCAGCTCGAGCCATGATAGAGGTCCCGGCGTCAAGCACAGAAGATAGCGATGGGCAAGAGAGGCCTGAAAGTCCCGGGGTCCGTCGCGCAAGCTATCGATTCCTGACGCTCACACCAATGCTGACTGTTGAATACACCAGCATGACAATCATAAACATGTTCTACACACAGCTCAGCCCGTCGCTCATTCACACGACCTGGGAATGATGGGGGTTTTGGTCCATGTTCTCGGCGACGCAGCCAACAACCTTGGAGTGATGGCCGCGGCATTGGTGATCTGGCTGACCCATTACGAGGGTCGGTACTATGCTGATCCAGGAACGACTATGGGAATCTCAATCATGATCATCCTCTCCTCGTTCCCGCTTAGTATGTCCATCCAGGACTACCACTTTCAGTTTTCGTGTTGACTGTTTTAGTGCGACGAGCCGGTCTCATCTTACTTCAGAGCGCACCGAATGGAGTCGATGCCGAAGACGTGAAGCATGACTTGGAAAAGGTGAGTCTCGAGAAAGCGTAACTGTTTCAGCGCTGACTAGAAGCTAGATCCCCGGCGTGTTGTCGGTTCATGAGCTTCACATTTGGCAGTTGAATCAGCAGAAAACACTAGCATCTGTCCATGTAATGGTGTCGGACAGCTCGGTCCCGGCCTTTTTGAGGTTGACCAAGACGATCAATGAATGTTTCCATGCATATGGAATTCATTCAACCACAATCCAGCCAGAGGTGGTGCATCCGGGAGCGATCAGCAGCCTAGAGTCAGAGGGATTAGAGAAATGTCAAGTCGTATGTGGAACAATGTGTGCAGGATTGACCTGCTGCGGATAGATAAATTCTGAGGCCAAAATGTTGAAGCGTTGAGATGGGAGAGGAGGGAAATTGTAGTTAACCAGAAGGACAGACATTTAGAAAGAACAGTCAATGGGAGTCAGTCATCTGACCCCGATTTAGTCATCTCTCCTCCTCAGGCTTCCTGCTTCTCTCTCCTCAACTCTTCTTCAGTCGCCTGCTGTTCTTCCCCTCACAGATCGACATTCAACGATAAGACTTCGATAAGAAGTCGGAATATCTTATCTCTTACCCCTCAGATATGCGGAATTGATTCCGTGAGACAACAAAGGCATTGTGTTGTTCTAGCTTTAAAGTACCTGTCTCCCACGATCCCTAGATCTCGCAGAGACTCTGTGGCTGCACAGAAACGTGCCATTCAAGGACGTGTCGGGGGCTTCGATGGAACAGACTCATTGAACTTCCCTCCAATCCGCCACAATAGGCAGGTACTCGCGATAGCTTGGAGATAAGAAAGACCGCATCCCCACCCGAGGTTGATCGCCTATCTGCACGCCGCTTGCACAGCATCCCCTCTTGCTTCCCCGCGAGCCACCGTGATTGGATTGCATTCCGATTCGGAAATGCCTTTCAAGTATCGATCCCGCCTGATTCCAAACCCTCAATGATGTCGGCTATGCGCTAGTTGTGTGAGGGCTGGTGGCTAAACGCGGCACTATAAAGTTGACTTACCCAAGTTCCTGCTCCTTGCTTCTGTTCACCTCTCGATTGTTCAGTTGGATCCCCACCATTATCATCATTATCCTGCAAAATGACACTTCCCTGGGAGACTCAGGCTCAAAAGGCTCGCGATATCCTCTCTAGCTCCATCCCTCAACAATGGCTCATCCCGGCAGACAAATTGCCCTCGCCCGATGAAAAGAACGTAGAGGACTTCCCGCGCAGGAGTGGGCTGTTCTCGGAGCACGAGCTGGCCATTACCGAGATGTCCGCCACAGAGTTGGTACGCGACATGGGCTCCGAAAGGCTTACCGCAGAGGAGGTGGTGACGGCTTTCCTGAAGCGTGCCGTGGTCGGACACCAATTGGTTCGTATAATCGGTTCCGCCGAAGTCTATCCGTCAAAGTAATCCAGCAACTAATACTAGATGTCCTAGCTCAACTTCGCGACGGAGTTTTTGGCAGAGAAGGCTATTTCGCGAGCAAAAGAACTAGATCGACACTTCAAGGAGACTGGGAAGCTGATTGGCCCGCTGGTAGGATAAACTCATTTACAAAATAAGAGAGGGAGTTGACGGTCACAGCACGGAGTACCCATCAGCGTCAAAGAGCATATCGGTATCAAGGATTTGACCTGCAACGGCGGCTATGTAGCATGGTACATTCAAACATGTTGAAACGGAAAAGGCATTCACGACTGACTATTTGAAGGGTAAATGACATTGCAACCGAGGATGCACTACTCCTTCAATGCCTTGAAAAAGCCGGGGCTATTTTCCACGTCCGCACAAATCAACCACAATCCCTCATGGTATCTCTCCCTTCTCATCAAGTTACAACATAGCTGACTCTGTCAGCATCTCTGCTGTAGCAACAACCTGACTGGCACGACGCTGAATCCATACAACCTCACTCTCAGTCCCGGAGGCTCCTCGGGAGGCGAGGGCGCTTCAACGGGCTTTAAATGTGCCCCTCTGGGCATCGGTACAGATATTGGAGGCTCGATCCGCTGTCCTGCTGCATTCTGTGGTTCGTATGGATTTCGTCCGACGGCTCTACGCAACCCAATGACAGGCATCAAGGCGCCTGAACCTGGCCAAGAAGCAATTCGTGGGGTTGTTGGTCCTCTTGCTAGTCAGAGTGTGGCAGATCTCGAACTCTTTCAGCAGGCTGTCCTGGATCAACAGCCATGGGAGATCGAAACCTCGATTCCGCCGGTACCTTGGCGACGAGTGCAGCCTACCAAGGATATGACCGTTGGAATCCTGTGGGATGACGGGTAAGCCTACCTCGTAACTTGGGTCTCCGCTCTCGCACCGTCACATGGCTTCAGCTGTGGAAACAAGACCGCGTCAAGAGTAGACTACTTATCGCTCACTACCTTCAGGATTGTCCATCCCCATCCCCCCGTTACCCGCGCACTCAGACACGCCAAATCCAAGCTTGAAGCAGCCGGCATCAAGGTCGTGGACTGGGAACCCTACAAACACGGCCATGGCTGGGACATAATTGTGAGTCCTGCCCTTGAGGTCATATCCACAGTCCGCTCTTCTGCTCTGTGCTGACAGTCGAAAGTCTAAAATGTACTATCCCGATGCCGCCCTTCTCCAACGTAGCCTGATCACAGCCTCTGGCGAGCCCACACTCCCCCTGACCTCGTGGGCTTTTGCTTACAGCAGCCCCAATCCCCTCAATATCGCCGAGACCTGGACCCTGAATGCTCAACGCGATGTCTACCGCGATGAGTATCAAGCCTTGATGCGGTCTCGCGGCGTGGACTTCATTCTCTGCCCTGCGTACGTTGGCGTCGCTGCCGTGCTCGGGGAGAGCCACTACTGGAATTACACGGCTATCTGGAACATTCTAGATCAGCCAGCCGTAGTGTTTCCAAGCGGGCTGTTCGTCGAAAAGGATGAGCTGGTAGAAGAAGAAAAGGAGTATGTACCGCGGACGAATGGTGTTGATGAACGGGAATGGATGAAATGGAAGGTTGCCGGAGCTGAAAGATATGAGGGGGCGCCGGTGGGATTGCAATTGGTAGGAAAGCATTTCAAGGATGAGGAGACACTGGCAGCAGCAAGGTTGGTGAGCGAACTGCTTTCTAGTGCTTAGAGATGCCTGACATTCCTCATTTTGAAATCGGTGGCTGGCCTTGGCCAGGATATCTGTATGTTATTACTACGGATACTTAACAGGATACAGTTTAAATTTACTTACTAGTAAAATCTACCCTCAAATGACTTGACTCAAGATAGTTGTTTACTCTAGTCTCGATTTCATCTTTTTAGTCGGTATTCACATTCTCTGACTTTTGCTTATGTGCTCGGTTGCAGTCCCTACATTTTGATATCTCGATATGAAATTGTTGCGTTGGATCAGACATCAATGCAGTTCACACTATCAACAACCGCGCTGCACCAAAGCGTTACCATGGCATTGATCTGAAGATCATCGACAGGACACACCGCAGACTCAGACTCGCTCAACCTCTCAGCTCAAATATGACTGAGAGCAGACTAAACCACCATCCCTGGCTACGAAGTCAATCCCAACACAGCGATTGACAATGCCTACATCCGGTCCTCCTCAAAGACTATCCCAGCTACCAGCCAGACGGCCTCTAACCAGCAGACTGAATGATGAATCTCGAGACACACAAGCCGAAGAGACTGAGCCAGAGCCACATGACCGTCGCAGACAGACCTTCAGCACACCGTCAACACGATACGGATCACCCCCTCCCCTTGCTCCCTTCTCTCCACCATATCCCCACACATCAACAACAAGTTTTCTTGCCCCACCACCCAAGAGACGCAACCACCGAATCACCCTCTCGACTCTACTCAGCAAACGCAAACGACACACAACCCTCCGCCACCGCGCAGATCAGAACCGGAATACATCTGGCCACCAACAGCTCCAGCAACAAAACAATGCCAAAGTCACCCAACAATGCCTTTCTCCAAACAAAGGACTCTACCGCGCCAAGGGGCAGGGGATTTCTCCCCCGTCGTCAACATCCTCAAAGAATCTTCCAAACCGGGTAGCTGCGTCTCCGGACAAAGAGAACCTCCCCCCAGAAGATGAAAAGCTCCTGCACAAAGGGCCTAACAACGACGACGAAGGGGCTGCCGATGAGATGCATAAAGATGTGGGTGGGGCCGGCGGTTGTTCGCAACCTGCACCTGTGTCTGGATCTACATGCAGGGGTTGTGCTCACAGCTACTGCGACTGCGACTGCGACTACAACTACGGCTACAGTCACGACTACGACTACGATTACGGCTACTGCTACCCCTCCGATTCCTGGGGAGACAGTCCCCCAACGCAGGTGGTGTCGACACGTTCACCATCGCGAACAGCAACAATACCTTCAGATGAGATCTGGTGGTGGAATGATACTGACAACGAGATGAGGGCAGGTACGACGAGGGGCTCGAATGGGTTGACGACGACGACTAGGCTTTATAATCGCCAACAACCGCCGCAGCAGGAACAGCAGCCGGAGCAGGCCCAGACCTTCACTTCCACCTCCCAGGGGTTAGTAGTGAGAAGGCCGCTGAACAATGGAGCTGAAGAACGAAGGAAAGCGCGACCAGGAAGTCTCCTCGCTCCTCGGCGTCCTTCTGTTTCCACCTCTACTGCGCTGCGCAAGTCCTTCCCTTCAGCCGCCACCAATACTCGTAGTCGACTATTCGACGGGACGATATCCTCGCGGTCCAAGATGGTCGGCGCACCACCAGCAATAACGGCTGCAACGAGGGCCACAGCAGCGCAAGAGCCCCGAAGAGCGTCGGGCATCAATCCCACCCCGCCGAGAAGGGTGCGATGGACGAGCAAGTTTGAGAATCTGCGCGCTCAGGGTAACAGAGAGCAATTGCAGCCGCAGCCGCAGTTGCAGCAGACGAGGACAAAGAGAGAATCGACGGGTCTGCGTGCAGCACCTGCGCCTGCTCCTGCTCCTGCACCCGCGATAGGTTCAAGGAGGGAGTCTTTCAGAAGGAATTCGCAACTCGTTCCTCCTCCTCCTGCTGCTCCACGGCTACCATCATCCTCGATAGGACTGAAAAGGGAGCCCCCACGAAGGAATTCGCAACTGGCCCCTCCTGTTGTTGCTCCTGCACAGCTCTCATCATCTGCGATAGGACCGAAGAGAGAGTCTATACCAAGGAACTCGCATTTAGCTCCTCCTCCTCCTCCTCCTCCTCCTCCTCCTCCTCCTCCTCCTCCTCCTGCTGCTGCTGCTGCTGCTGCTCCACGGCTACCATCATCCTCGATAGGACCGAAAAGGGAGCCTCTACGAAGGAATTCACAACTGGCTCCTCCTCCTGCTCCTTCACAGCTACCATCATCATCGCCCCCGAGGTTACGAGCCACACAGGCCCAAAAGGAAGATAGTCGTGGTAGTGGTAGTGGCAATAGACCTGGTTCCGTTAGGGCTGCGCCTCCTGCACCCAGAACAGCACGACCACCAGCAAGACCACCACTAGCAACAGCAACAACAGCCCACCGCAAACCCACCGTAACCGTAACCCAGCACCCCCAACAACCACTCCGAAGAATTACCCTCCACCGCGTCCAAGAAGAACAGAAAAAACAGTTGCTCACCCCAACCCGTGCTCCCCCAGCCGCCAATACCAGCGCCAGTACCACCACAACCCCGCGCCGCAGCTTCACCCACACGCGCATCGCCTCCCTCCCCTCGATCTTCAAATCCCTCAACCGCCCCAAACTCATTGCGGACCCGAAGTCCTTCGCCCAGGTCTGGGAAGCCCGACCGTCGACCTACTGGCTGGGCCGGTTCGTGACCCTGACCAATGCATTCCACTACGAGGATTCGTTCCGGCAGCCCGACGCAGCCACGGGATCTCCTGGGATGCTTTCGAGCTACCCGCAGCGGCCGCTGGCGGGGCCGGATGCTGCTGCGGTGGACACACATGCGGACGCGGACGCGGACGACGGGGATCTGCCGAATTCCCGCGTCAAGCGGGCGTTCATGCTGCTTGAGAATGTCTGTGTGACGGACGAGGCGAGTGGGAGTTTGCGGAGGTTTCGGGATGCGTATGTGGTTAAGTTTGGGGATCGGTGGATGGATTGAACCTGGTTTTTCTTCGGTTTGGAGTGAGGGGGGTGGAGTTCTCGGCTGGGCTGTACTGTACTATAAAAGTCTGGTAAGAATAGGCGTTTTTGTTCTTATGGTTAGATTCATGGTAATGCTGGTGCTAGGTAGAGGAATAGTTCTCTTATGTTTTCAGTGTGCTTCGCTCCCTATTAAAATTATTGATATGTACCCAAGGAAGGTAAGGTGGTCGTTACTTCGTGTGCATGTTGTTTGATTCCTAGTCATCAAAAGATTTCTCCTATGATACATTTCCCCCGCGGTCCTATCTATAAGCCCCAATTCCAGGTCATCAGTAAGATCCTCTCGCCAAAAGTAAAGCGTGTAAGCCGTGAACGCCAGACCGCCCTTAAAATAAGCATCCGTTAACCATCTCATGTAGAATCTTTTTCACTTTCGACTCCGTAAGAAAGCGGCCACCTGTTCGTGTCGGGTCACGAAGAACATGCGCTTGCGGTCCGACTTCCAGACGAGCACGCCAATCTCCTCGGCATAGCGGCAGGGGGCCTCGTACTCGGCCAGACTAACGAAGTCCTTGAACAGGAAGCCGGCGGTGGCCTGGACGCGGTCGCGCTCGAGCTGCCAGAGGCGGATCTGGTCGACGACGGTGGGGGGCAGGATGGACTGGGGGATGCCGGCCTGGTTGGAGGTGGAGCGGGAGGTGTTGTGCTTGCGCATCTGCGGGTGGGCGTGGGTGGACAGGTAGGAGATGATCTGGTCGGCGGTGATGCCCATCTCGACGGCGCGGCGGATGGACTGGCGGGTGATCTTGCCGGTAATCAGGTTGGGGAAGCGGTACTTGAGGGTGGTGAAGAGGGCGATGAGGCTGATCTGCAGCGGCGACGAGGTGTAGGCGTACAGCCGGTAGTTGGTTTCGATGATGATGAAGCCCGTGCCGGCTTTGTTTGCGGCGTTAGAGGAGGAGGAAGGATCGCCGGTCGGATTGCCGGCCAGCGAGCCGGCGATGGGGTTGCTCAGCGCGCTGGAGTCCGAGGTGAGCGTCGTCGCCAGCCGGGTCGGGTAGAAGTGCGCCGCCTCGGGCGACTCCTGGTAGACGATGCCGAAGTCGGCCAGGTCGGCGAGCGTGCGCAGCTGGTTCGCCGTCAGGTGGCGCTTCTCGTACGACTGGCCCAGCTCGAGGCTGCTCAGCAGGAAGACGAACGAGAGCACCTCCACGCTGTCCATGCCGATCGCCTCGGCACTCTCCACGTACAGGATCAGGATGTGCCACACCTGCGTGCTGACGTCCTGCAGCACGAACGCGAACCCGTCCTTGGTGATGTCCACGCGCGTGCCGCGGATCTCCACCAGATGGCCCGCCTGCAGCAGCTGTTTCACCCCTTTGCTCAGGTTGACGTCCCGCTGGATCCCGAGCCCGCTCGTCCCCACCATGTAGCCCAGCACGCCTTCCCACTGCCGCCGCGCGTAGTCGTCCAGGTTGGCGATGGAGACCGCCGCCGCGTTGGGCGGGTGGGCCAGAACGCCAAAGGACTGGGTCTGCTCGGCCCCCGTGAGGGCGTGTCGCAGCGAGGCAGCGAACGGGTTCGTGACCATGTACGCTCGCACATTGTTCGCGATGACGGTATTCGACAAGATATGTAACCGGCCGAGAATCGAAAGCGCATTATCACGTTCCCTTCACGCCGGCGTTTGTCATTAGCCAACTGAATGAATCCAAGCCAACGTACACACGCCCCATGACAGAGTCAGATAGAAAACTCACTTCAAGCTCTCGGATTTCACCCAGACCTCCAGATCCGCCGCGGGGAGCGGATCCTTGAGGTACAGCAAGGCCATCACAAAACATTTTGCTATAGCAATCACAGCATCAGTCTAAAAGGCACACTCCTTGGCCAGAAGGGGTAGATGGCATGGCATACCCAAGTCAGGCAGCATGCGCCTGAAAATGGCGAGGGCGGTTGATGGCTGCTGGTAAAGCTTGAAGAAGACCGTGCCAGGAAGGCTTTCGAGATATTCAAACGGACGAGACGATGGTGCAGCAGCCATCTTGTCTGCACAAGTCACCTCTGCAGCATGGTGCGACCAGGGAGAGGGAGGAGAGAAGCTGGGTCGCCTGCAGCCTTGGGTAACAACCAAGTTATAGAGAAAGCCTTGTGGAAGCTTGGTGTGAGTACGCAAAAAGAGTAGAATTGCGGAGAGCGGTTCGGGGGGCGAGACCACCACCAAGCGCAGTCCGCGGCGATGACCTCAACTTGCTTAACTAAGTCACTTACTTCCCCTTCGCCTTTCCGACTTCTACCCGTCCCGCCCGTCTATACTCCGTAGTGACTTAGCTCATATATCTCCGCAACTCGACTCAATTGCACTGATTTTTTACTTGAATTCACCATGACCTCCTTGCGCTTTGTTAGATCTGTAAGTGACTTTGGTCTTACTTCTTATTCACATTCATCATATTGACTGTTCCACCACAGGTCTGGGAGTCCTTTCGGGCCAATTCGGGGCTGGAGCCTCGGTAAGTCAATACAAACGGCATTTCTGCATCATCCATGAGTTTCTGGCCATTGACAGCTCAACGAATGTGATGTTTCAAGTCTATTAGATGGTGTAAGCCCTCCTTCAAACCATTTGCATCTCGTACCGTCTATATGCGCAGTTGCATGAAATATAGTATATACATATACATCACCCACGGCTTCTCCGGCCTATCAACTTCCCAACCAAGACTTCGCATCAAAAACTAACCACCCCTGTGAAACCCAACAGCTCCGCGTAACAGCCGCCCGACCTGGCAGAGTCAACTTTGAACTCGACATCAAGAAAGAGCACACAGTAAGCTAACCGTTTCTCCAAGTGTTAGCATCAAGTACAGTCGCCGCATACAAGTCCCTAACATCCGCAACCCAGAACCGCTTGCAAATCCTCCATGGCGGAACCATCGCCAGCATGGGTACGTGACCCAGCGTGTGCTGGCTTTTTGCTCTTGAACTGAAACTCAAACTGTCTCCAGTGGACCTAGGCGGTTCTCTGGCGGTAGCCTCCCGCGGTCTCTTCGCTACGGGTGTATCGACCGATCTCAATGGTGAGGTAGAACCCCCAATAACCAAGTCCATAATCGCTAATTCGTCTGCGAAATAAGTGACCTATCTCAGCTCCGGGGGTAAAGTCGGAGACAAGATTCTGGCGGTATGTAAACCTCCCACACCCAGGGGGGCCTTTCCCTGCATGCGTTGGACCTCGCTCCATGCCAGGTCAGAATACGATACCAGAATATAAGTTAATGCTGATTTCGCCATATACAGGAGGTCAAATGTGATAAATGTGAGTCTTACCTGCTTGCCGTCGATAGCAGTCCCCCCTCCGAATGCAGCACATTCGTGCTTTATCTCGCGGAATCTAATTTCTGTAAACGCAGTCGGCAAAACTCTGGCCTACACCTCGATCAAATTCCTCAACGAGAAGGGCGATGTCTTTGCGCGGGGCAGTCACACTAAGTATGCACCTTCTCAACCCCCCTCTGTCGATTTTTTATTCGTACAAATATGGAGCGGGGGGGCTTGGGCTAATTAATGAACTCTCTCCCGATCAGGTTCGTCGCCCTTGCATGGAAGGACCCGCAGAATATCGTCGAAGAGATGGCAAAGGAGGAGCAACAGTCCTCGTCGAAGAGCGAAACTTAAGTGGGGCTCTCTCTTTTGAGGGTACTTTGGCGAAGGTGATGATGATCTATGAGTCGGATAGTCGGAGACACGACTCGTACCCCTGTAGAAAAAGAAAGGCGAGAGACGCGATTTAGAGACTGTAGCTGTATAGATGTACAGTATATATGTTGGGACCGCAAGCTTCAAGCTGTCTGCAGAATTTCTTCTCGGGCATCAAGCCACAGTCTTACAGAGCGCATATATACGGGAAGGTTAATAGAAAGACAAGATTTTGTCATGACTGTGGCGTCGTCTCATGGAAGCGCCCAGTCCTTCACATGTTCATAAATTCGCTTCCCAATGGAACCAGGGTACTAGGATTTAAAGAGAGGCATACATAAAGAGACGTACATGGATGGGGTGGGTGGGTGGGAGTAGGTAGGTAGATTGCAGAATCGTAGATGGCCGACTGATTCAAATCATTTCAAACGCCAGTAAGGGTATGTTCGTGCAGAGGGTCGTCATCCATGTCTTCGCCGGTACCCATCATGACCTCATCTTCGTCGACCACCTGATCCTCGTCGGCGACCTGCACATCATTGTCGATAGCAATGTTGTCTTCGCCCATTGCCTTGAGCTTGGCCTGGGTCATTTCGAACACGTACTGCCCGAGATGCTCGACGCTCTCCATTGGAGTGCCTTGAACTTCGTCATCCTGCGAGCGGGCAGAAGGGAACATCTCCCCCGGTGCAAGCATGAGCTTATCCGGACGCTGGAACAGAAGGTCGAACGCCGGCTTCAGCTCGTAACATGATTCGAATACTTCACGGCGACCGAGGATGTATAGTCCCAGCCGGGCGCGAGAGAGCGCAACGGTCAGACGACGGACATCGCGGAGATACCCCACGGTACGCGTCCGCGTAAGGGAAAGAATGACGTCTACAAGATCCGGATTAGTATAGTTCCCAATAAAGGTCATATCAACAATAGGATGACTTACAGTCGTTCTGTTCACCTTGGTATTTGTCGACAGTAGTAACAATCTTAGGCATGCCGAACAATCCGTTCTTGGCACAGCGGTGGCTCAAGACATCCTTGATCAAGGCCGTTTGACCGGCGTACGTTGCAAGGATCGAGATCTTCGACGCAGGATATCCAAGAAGACGCATGTATTGATAGATGGCGACGGCATATTCAGCCTCACCCAGGTTCTGGATGAAATGTGGCGTGGGTTCTCGCTCCCCGTTGCCTTGATAGTCGGGGACGTTGATGAATTGGTAGTCAAATTGGAAACCGGCATTTGCCCGTTTGTACTCTTCCACCGTCTCGACAGTGGGAAGGTTCCCAAGCTGTTTGTAGCGCCATTGGAAGAGCTCCGCAATGCTCGGTCTGGAACGGCCCTGCTGATCGAGTGTGATAACAGGAACACCCAGTCTCACCAGCCGCAGGAAAAGACTCTGTTCAAAATGTGCGTATTGCCGGAAGGCCATGTTTTGAATAATGGGCGAGTTTTGTAAATGATCACCACAAAGAACCACGCGCTTAAGAGGAAGTTCGCCATTCTTCATGTTCTGCAGCGCAGTGGGAATGAAACATTCAATCTCTGTAATTTGTGCGGCTTCTTCCATGATGACATTGTCGTAGTGGAATCCTAGATCAGCAATCTCTTGACGGCGCATCGCTGCATGCGTCGATGTCATGGCAATGATCCGCGCTTCCTTCACAAGAAGATAGTTGGCCTTGTCCTTCTGCTGACGTAGAATCTCAAACGGCCGGATATCTTCCAGCTCAGAGAAGATCTTATCGATGTGCCGCTGGCAGCCCTTCGCTACATCGAGTATAGTCTCTTTTGGTGCGGTAGGTTCGAAGACGGGCTGCGGTGCATTCGAGAAATAGTCATGGAAAGGGAAAGCTGCGACGACTTCCTCGTTGGAAACATCCTCGGCACGCGCGTGATCCCAGAACTTGGCCCAAGCAGGCTGAATGTAGACTGTGTTGAAATAACCAGCAGTTTCGCAGGAGTTCCCATGGGCCCCTTGAGCTCCGATTGATGCAGCCAATCGAGTGACCTCACTGAGGAAGAAATTGCGGTTTTCAAGAAACGACTCAACTCGGCCGTACTTGCTGTAGTTTGAGTCGGTTTCTAGCTCTTCCTCACCATGACCAAGACGGAGAAGATGACGTTCGTCAATGTCAAGAGCCACAATCTTCTGGAAGAGCTGGTTCAGTGCTTGATTGCTGTGCGCGATCAGGAGTGTACGCTCATTAGGGAAGTCGTGGTAGATGTTGTTGATGATTTGCGTGGCGACATCAGTCTTGCCAGTGCCAGGAGGGCCGACAATGACAGTCAACCCAGGTTGGGTCCCTGACGTGATAGCCTCAACCTGCGCCGGAGTGAAGCGCACTGTGTTCAATTTGGGGGCATCAATCGGATAGGGGCCTGGGTGTGGCGGTTTGTATGTCGAAACGCGCAGTGACTTGGGACCTGATGCCTTTTCCGACTGATCTTTGCGTCGCCTCTTGGTGCCCGCTGACGGGGTCTGAGAAGGTTCTTCAACATATTCCAATACATACGGAGGACCGAAACTGGAGGTCTCGCTGGTCGAGGGCTCGATGGTCCTTCCGGGGAAGCTTTCAATCAGATGTTGCCAGTCCAAAAATGTGTCTCGGAAATCGACCGACTTAAGTCGATTGGGCAATTCGGTGTATCGAGCTCCGGCCGGATCCCCATAGCCCAAGAAAATATCCTGAATCCAGGAAGGCAGAGCGATGTCGGAGACGATCAATTTCTGCATAGTATCGAGGATCGATTTAAAGTTGTTTTCTCTTCCCTTCCTCCGGGCAACCACGTTGATTGACGAATAAATATCCAGCTTTCCTCGGGCAAGTGCGTCTCTGTCTGCCTTGAAAGCAGCGGGGTCCAGATTGACCAACAGCTTCCGGACACGAGGTTTGTGTTTGTAGCCATTCGACTGGCCGGAAGAGAAATCTCGTAAGGGACGACCATTTTCGTCTAGCACCTGAACTATCTCTGCGGTTCGAAGGTGTGTCAGCCCGGGAGCTTCAGACTCGCGAAGTCCAGACTTCGCGGCACCATCCGACTGCACGGCCAAGAGGAAAATGACATCATCTGGACGCAGAGAGTCCCATTCCCTACGAATGTGGTCTGCTAACCTGCCCACCTCGATGGCGATTTCAGCCCTGACAAAAGCAGGCTTGGCGGAACCGACCTTGGGAGGAGCGACTTCAATTATAGCGGGCTTCGTAATCGGGATAGCCATCCTCGAGAAACCATCAAATGTCACAGTCTTACCATCACGACTTGCGCGGGGCTGCATCCGCTTGATGACTGACTCCATATCTTTCCGGATCTGGAAGAAAGCCTCGGAGCGGTATAGGAGGAATGAACGCCAAAGGAAGTCGCCAGTGCTGAGGTATTGTAGGTTCAATTTGGGAATAGCTAGCGGGGTAGACCCATCGTAATTCTCATTGCGCAGCAATGCAGGATCATAGAGATCTACCTCCGTGGGGACAATGCTGAGCTGCGATGCAGCTTCTTGAAAGGTTGGCTTCCGTTCGTAGAATGAGAGGAGGATCTCCATGTACAGTTGGCGGTCGGGTGTGACTTGCGACTGTTTAGGGTACTCAATGCGGAATCCAAGATGGCTGCAGAGCTTCTGCAGTTCGTCCTCCTGCAAAGATGCCAATTGACCTTCCAACTCCGAGCGTTGCTCAATAGAACCGTAGTTGGACAGGGCCAGGATCATAAGCTTGTCCTTGAAGTATTTCATGGAAGTCCTCTGCAAACGTGCCAGCTCTTGGCAATGGACATCGTAGACTGACTGAGGCGATAGAGCTTCTCCTGTGAAGTCATCAATGGCGAACGATGCAAAGTGCTTGAGCAGACCACTGAGGTCACGGAAGAGCGCATTGTCGGGTGAGCGGTAGAGCTGCGACAGACGGAGAACCGCTAGCAAATTAAGGTCCTTCAAAAGCGTGTTGACGTAGCGCCGGGTGGGGGGCTGGCTTTCTAGATCGACGAGGAACTCGAGGAATCGCTCACAGTATCTCAGGTTCTGTGTCTGGTCTTTCTCGGCGCTGTTCAATCTGCGGAGGAAATCCAAGAACATCGTGTACAGCCATGACCTCTCGAAGCGAATCTTCGCCTTGGCAGCTTCATCTCCCGCATCGTACCGTTTGGCTGCAGCTCGCCATGCCTTTTTCAACCCCGGACTTTTTGCTAATAAGGAATCTCTTGCCCCTTCGCTGGAGAGGTTGTGCCAGATGGAGATAGAAACGAGCGGTGCGCACTCTTTGCGGATCAAGGTATTTTCGACGGATTGGAAAGCACTGATGATAAAGGAGATGATGGATAGTCGTGGGGACGCATCGAGGGAGGGGTCGATGCTCATCGAGAGGATTCGATGGAAAAGGTTCGAGAAATCGTCCGGGCGATCGGAGAAGACCTCTAGACTTCGATTAGTAGGTTCTCCGCAGAGAATGTTTCGTGCACGTTATCGAGCTTACCCCAGATCGGTAAGTGTTCGCGTTGCTTGACACTCACAATCAAGACGAGCAACAACACATGGTAATTCGACGCATCTTCAGTGTAGGTCGGCCAAAGATACCTACGATCGGCGGGTTAGCCATCCGTCTTGTTCCAAGCTAGCCGATTTATCTCGAAAGGATGGGGGGGGCGCGCATACTTTTCCAAGATGTTCAGGTTCTCCAGGGTGAGAAGCGAGCGAAAGGCGAACTTTTCAGCCTCGAGGGGATCCCAGATCTCCTTTTTTATGACATCCTGCTTGACTTTGCGGGTTTTGGAGCCCTCCAGCCAGTGGGATTTCGCCAACTGCACCCAGGGACTGTTTTCCCGAAAGTCGTCCACGTTCGGTCTGGAATCAAGGCCCGGCGCCATCACCTGACGTGTCTGGAGGCCCATTCCTAGACGTAAGGAGGAGGAAATTGGGGGTAAGGGGAAAGAAGAGGAGGAGGGGGAGGAGAAGAATTGCTTCAACTGGACTCCGGGGCGTGGTCTCCGATCAGTAACTGCGCAAGTGGTCCGTTGCGGCGGGATTGGGAAAGCTTCTGGCGCGCGCCTACCGGCCGCATTAATCCTCCAGCGGTTAGGACCCGCAGAGCCGCAGCCAGTCAGTCACCCCCCCAATCCCCCCATCATCCGCCGCGATTGTGAAGGCTTTCCCTGTGTCTACACCTTCGTCAACCCTTCTTGTTCATTTTCTCTCTAGAAACGTTCCAACCTCGTTGCTACTACGTCGCTCGAAAGTATGGCGGAGGTGGACGTTGGTGCGATACCCGTCTACAAGAGCTTGATCGACGAGCTCCTGTCGCGCGCCGAACATGCAAAACCGGATGGACAAATCGAACCCCCTTTGACCGAAACGCAGCTCGGAGACTCATTTTGGCTTATCCAAGGCGAGGATGCGCAATCCGTCAAGAAGCTAGGCCAGCAGACCCAGCTTGCCGCGGTCGAAATTGCATTCCGAGAGAAGTTCTACAGCCTTTTGGTATGATCATCACGTTTCGCGTCGGGTATAGAGGTCCTTGCTAAAACCGAATTGCCTACAGGCCACCACGTCAATCGACCAGCCCTCGTTTATCCAAATCTGGAATCTCCTTGACATCATCTCGATCTTCTCCGACAACGGTCAGACCCCTATTCTGTAGCTCGCCTCGACGAGGATCCTGACTGTGCCTAGAACAATGTGAGCCGGGCTTGATCTTTTGGTTGATTGAGGAATTGCTCGACAGCCAGACCATTGACGGATGCCGGAAGGTTTTCGATTATCTGGAGTCGCGAAGAGAGCGTAATACAAAGGTAGGAATTGGCTTGCCGGTCAAAGTAGCCTCGTCCCAAGTGCTGACGGCTCGCAAAGAAACATTTCAAACAAAAAAGCTTAATCATCCTGAGATCCTGCAATGAGCTGTTACGGAGGCTCTCAAGAGCCGAAGATACTGTCTTCTGTGGGCGTGTATTCATCTTTCTATTCCAAAGCTTCCCACTGGGAGACAAGAGTGCCGTCAATCTCCGGGGTGAGTACCACACGGACAATGTCACGACTTACGATGAGATCGTCAAAGCCGCCGTCAGAGGGGGTGATGATGGTGACGTGGAAATGTCGGACGATAAGGAGGAAGAAGCGCCCGGGGAAGAAACCGAAGCCGTGGGTGCTGCAGCTAGCGACTCGCAAGCAAATGCGCTAGAACCCCCTAGCACGCCCAGAGTGATTGTCTCCAAGGCCAAAGAGCAGTCCGAGGATAAGGCGGTTGACTTGGATGCTCTCTACCCGATATTCTGGAGCCTGCAGGCCTACTTCTCTGCCCCAACCAAGACATTCGACGCGCAACACTTCACAGCCTTCAAAGCCGGGCTTGAAGCTACACTCGCCACCTTCAAGCACGTGAACACGGATCTCGAGACTTCCAGCAGCATAAAGACTTCGGAAGAGCGGAAATCCAATAAGCGCAAACGAACCGCAGATGGACAAGAGATCGCGAGCAGCTTCAATCCCAAGTACCTAACAAGCAGGGACTTGTTCGACCTCGAGGTACGTGGCAGGCCGATTACTACTGCGCAGAATAAGGCAGTCTGACATTCCGGCAATAGGTGAACGATACCGCCTTTCGAAGACACGTGCTTGTCCAGGCCCTCATCCTTCTGGACTTCATGCTCTCACTTGGCGCAAAAGCCAAAGCCAAGCTTGTCGACTTGACTAACAAATCAGTCTTGTACGGGTTCTTGCTAAGCGAGGAAGATGTACCTCCACCCCCTCTTGCCATGCGGTGTTCATCTAGTCCGGTCGCTGACAATCATAGGCTAAATGGGCGGTCAAAATACGGAAGTCCATCGAGGAGTATCTGCAGGAAGGTGTCGGCGGCAAGTTCTACTATCGAATGGTGGACACCGTTCTTTCGAGAGACAAGAACTGGGTGCGATGGAAAGCAGAAGGTTGTCCGTTGATCGAGAGGCCGGCTGTTTCGGTGTCCGAATACATTGGTGCTCGTGAGCATGCCACTAGATCATATGCAAACAAACGCCTTCGCCCCTCGCCTATGGGCTCGCTCAGTCTCAAATTTCTCTCCGAAGGGGAATCCCAGGCGGGCATGGAGAGGCTAAAGGATCCGGAAAGGTAGGCGCTTCGAGATACCGGGGAAATACACTAGCAGTGTGCTGACGTTGACATGTAAGATTTTCGGTCCCTGCTGCGGACTCCCTCATGATGAGTATCATGGACGACGAGTTAGATCTCGACCTTGCTCAGACGAAAGAGGAAAAAGATTACGCTCTGCGGTCAAAGGCGAGCAAGACCTGGCGCATACTACGGCTCTCCGCGAAAAGCAAACTCGCGGCATTTGACAAAATTGAGGACGGCAAAAACCTGAAAATCCTCTTCGCCACGGCCCAGCCATCAGATGGAACGCCCCAGACCCTGGAAGGTACCCCTCAGGCCCCAGAAGTTACGGCGTCGGGGAAGCCGTCGACGGAGGGCGAATCCGCTGGACCGGGGCAGGACCTTGGAGCCACGACTGGGGAGGATGGGAACACAACCATCGCCACCGACCAGACTCTGGCTGATCCCAAGGATGCAATTGCGCCAGACACTAAGGTGATGTGAAGAACGCCACGTATTCGCATGTACAGATAAATTGAGGCACAAACCCACCTGTCCTTGAGTCTGATTGGCGCCCTCAATGCCGTCTCCTACGATCTTACCTCTGCTCTGAACTTTGTGGCTGTATGCATCCGTATCACCACGCTAATTGTGGGAGATGGGGTGGGGAGAGACGATGTATGGCGATTATCAGTATCTGTGTCAATGAGCAACAACAGATACACTCGGCCTCCAAGCCACCAGTCATCTAGCAGGTGCGTTGCATCTCTGGCCTTGAGTCAGCTGGGCTAGCGTCAGCCAGGATTGGGAGGACCAAGCAGGTGATGGATCGCATAGGAAAGTCGGTTCTTGTCACGAGGATCCAGGAAATTACGGCGGGGGTGTGGATGCGTTGATTGGCCTTCTAGGATTCGCTGCCGGTGTTCTTCCGGATCGTTAAGGCACAGTAAAGTACAACTAGTACCATTCGTTGGGTTAGGTTAGGTCCGGTGAGATGGGGTTGGATGGCCAGGAGCCTGGGAAGCATGATGGGCACTCAGTCATGCGTATCTCCATCTTACCTGGTTCTTGGATGGCCCTTATCCTGTTCGAGGCACTTCTCCTAGCCCTGTGGCAACAGTACGGCTGTCCACCGCATGGTTGGACTACTTCCTGTTCTCTATCCACCCGTCCGAAAAGTCACCCCTCTCCCCTGGGCTCCTGTTTGCACCCGCAAGAAGGAGAAGAGGGGGCGGAGGGGGGTCATCCATGACACTTGCCACATGTCATTCGGCCGAGTGTTACATGTCTGAGGCATGTGGCCAAAGCATTGGAGGTAGGGAAGGGGCTAGAGAGAAGGGATTATGGGATGCTGAAGGAAATAGATGGGTGCAGCCCACCGGAAATTGAAGGTTCCTTCAGGCATCCACTGCAGCCCTAATGGGGAAGAATCTCCTGGCGGTTCGCATAATGAAGGTTCGAAAGACTCTGGGAGAATATCTGTAAGCGGCCGAATCGGGCTCCTCTCGGCCATAGAGGTAGAAAAAGCACGAATCAACGATTTATTTTCTTAGATGGTGGTTATGACCCAATGGTTTAAGCTATGAGGGGACATATCCCTCAATGATCAGCAACTTTAATTACCTGGAGAGTTCCTGCGTCATTCGTCATTCGTCAAGCTCGGTCCCATTGTTCGAAGGAAGGAGGGATGGGAAGTCATTAGGGCGATAATGCTTGACACAACCGATGACAGCATGAATGGGTGTGGTTCTCTTGTCGAAGATGTCATGCGAGATTGCAGTGTCATGACTGGGGCCAGTGCGCATCAATGTGTAACTTGAGGTTTTATTAGATGCCCCGCTCTTGTTCATTAAGCTCGATCCATAGATTGATTTGGTAAAGTGATCGGTAAATTTTCACGAACTGTGGGATTTCACCCTCGCTCGGAGGCAGAAAGAAGTTCTAGGAGCTCGCCGACTTGCCGTGGTCTGCAGTGAATAACGAAACACGAGAAAAATGCATAAAAACTGGATGAGGTTGAAGTGCCTGCTGGGGTTATGCCTTCGGGGCCTTGAGAGTTGATTGCACGTCCGATTTGCCCAGCGATAGAGCCAAGAACTGACATCGCACATCTTATACTTTCTTGTTTACGTGCGCGTTCTTATCGCCACATTGTGATGTAGTATGATCCAGTCTGGATGATTAAGCCGGAATATGGGCATCACAAACATGTATACATGAAGTCAGTTGAGGATCTTGTGCAACTTAGACAGACCCATGACGGAATCGATCGACTGTCCTCCGTAAAGATAGGGTTACGATACGGGATGCCACGCGCTTGCCGACACTTGTTGCTGGGAACTGACAAAGCCGTTCATGACTGATTCACCCGTCATGGTCGCGAGTCAGGGATGTCTTGGACTCTGCATTGACAGGTCCTCTGCCGCTTGAGCCCCCTTGTCATGCCTGCCCCTTTTTCTTCGTGTCATCAATCTAATTCATCAATGTGATACCGTCGCAATCACTGTCATCAATCAATTTTTGATCATTGATATGCCGGGGTCCGTAGCAAGCAGATCCCGCATCAAGCTTCAGGGGGGCCAAAGGGGAGAGGCGGGTTAGCCGAACGATCTCGATCCAGGCACGGCGTCATCTAGAAGGCTCTGTGTATTGTATGTATGTACGGAGACTGCGATACTGTTGTTTACTCCGTGCGTCTGTGTATGGTTGATTTATCGATGGCGAGCCCATCTCGGTCAAGATCATCAATGAACAATCCATGAAAAAGGCCGTTATGCACGTTTCAAGCAAGCCGACGGCCCCCGCACAG